AATTTGAATAAATCACATCTCTTCGAATTTATACTCCTGATCCATTTTCATTTTTTTTCTATACCTGTGATGAATCTAATGGAATTATAATTGCTACTAACAAAGTGCTCCCCTACTGAACCACCTGTCCGCTATAGCATGTATTACTCTTTTTGCACTGATGATTATCTCCTTAAGCTGTATTGTGACTGTATCCTTTTTAATACTTTTCTGCAAACCTGTAACCAGAAATGTTTTATATAGTACATTGTTTGACAATAATTGGAATGTTTTTACTCTCAGATTGTGACCAATGCAAAGAATACCATACAAGGCTTTAAACGAATGCATGGAAGGCTTTTTGATGATCCATTTGTGCAAGCAGAAAAAAGCAAACTTTTGTATGAGCTTCAGAAGATGCCCAGTGATAGCGTTGGAATCAAAGTAAGTTGTATTTTTAGTGGAAATCCATGACTTAGATTAAAAGTGAAATTTAAATTGGATTTCTGAAGTGTATTGCTGGTGTTAGTTGATTTTCAAATCCAATAGCAATGCTAGGGATGATGCACCTTCCCCCTTGCCAATTTGCCATTTGTGAATGAAGGAATTCTGAATTAAAATGCTGTGTTTTGAAATACAAGGTGATATTAGCTTGAACATGTATCCTGCTGTCAGCTAAGGATGTTTGAATAAATTGAATGTCTGGTGTTTAAAGTTTTATAGTGTTCACTGTCTACCTGTAAATGAATTATCCTACTTTTTTGACATTTAGTGAATGTCCCAAGGGCTTTCCAAATAGTTAACTTTTGAGGTGTAGATATTTGTTGGTAGGAATTTTTTCCTGCCCTTATTGTAACAAATTCTCAAGGTTAAGGATGTTTGCTCACTTGTTCATCTGGCCTATAGCGAATGTTATAATCTCATTTAGAACACATGGAGATAGTGACTTTAAAATCTGCACTAAATGTTCAATTTAACTAAACTTTGTAAATTCATACCGTAGCTAACTCGACAGCCAAACATATTATTGACAATATCTTCCTGTTAAAGCTATAGTAATTAAAAAGTAATCCAATAAAATATTTCTGCTCTCTGCAGTTATTTGAAAAGTTAAGTGATGCAACTTCATTTTCTTACAGGTGCATTATATGAATGAAGAAAGAACTTTTGCAATTGAACAAATTACAGGGATGTTACTGACTAAACTCAAAGAGACTTCAGAAAATGCTCTGAAGAAGCCAGTGACAGACTGTGTAATTTCGGTAGGTTGGATTGAAGCCAGCAAAATCTCAAAACTATCCTAGATTTAGTTTATAAAGATTGTACCAGCAGTCAACTGCCAGGAAATTATTTGCCCGCTGGATGGTAGTGAATAATTCTTCTTCAGAAGTAGCTTCCTCGGGGACATCTTTTTGTAAAGAACTCTTGCCTTAATCTAACTGCTTGTGATGATGAGCATTTTGACTTTATTCCAAGATGAAATTCAAGAAATTCTGTACTTTGCTGTTGTGCACTGTACATAGTTAAGGAAAAATGTTGGGTACATCTCAAGTATTGTCTTCATTCTTTTGAAGGTATGTTGATTAACAAGCTTTTTGTATTTCCTGTCAAAGTTTTGAAGTGCAATCCCAGACCAAATTATTGAATATAAAATGGGTTTACAGGACAAATTAATCATGCTATTCCAAAGATGTTAAGGTCTAAATCGCATTTTATTCTGTAAATGGGCCATTTATATGCTCAAGAATTAGTAAATTTGCAAATACAAGAATGTACAATGAGTACAAAATTGATTCTGCTTTTTAAAAGTATATTAGCACACATTAGTATTTAAATAGCAATCTGAAGTTGAGTTTAATCTTATCATGGCTGGTTGTGAAAATTTGTGTACTAGCATGAGAAACTTTCCTTTTTAAAATTGCTCAACTTGTTCACCCCTACTGGCTCAGGCACATAGCTGACTGCTGGGTCGTAGTATGTTATGGGATCTTGCCGCTCCTGAAGCAGCATAATGTGAAATTTTTAGTGACCTTCATACATGTAAGGCAAACAAAAGGTTGTTCTTAACAGTTCAAATGGCAAGTTTATGCCTAAAGCTCCAGTGATTCTCAGAATTGTGTAGCTTCAGATGAGAATGAATGGAGTGAGAGCAGCATAGGTCATTTGGCCCTCTCTCACCTGTTCCATAATTCTAAATGATTATGGACAGTCTATTTCAAATATCCTTTTTCTTTCTTTCCCTTTCTGTCCCCAAATCCCTTGATTTCCTTAATATCTGAAAATCGTGCTTTAACATACTTCACTGAGCAGCCACATTTCTGTGGTAAAGAATTCCAAATGTCCACAACCCTTTGAAAAAATTCTCCTTGTCTCAGCATACAAGGCCAACTATTTGCTCAGACTGTGACCCTACATTCAACTCCACCCAGTTGAGACAGCATCCTGCCAGCATCTAACTTGTCCAGGCCTTTCAAGAACTTGGATTCACTTCAAAGAGATCAAAATTAACGTAAAGTAGTAAGACTTCTTTACTCCTGTACTCCAAATCTCTTGTAATAAAAATTTGCATCCTATTTGCATTCCAAACTGTTTGCAATACCTGCATGATGATATTCTGATTCCTGTACAAAGGCGTCCAAATTTCTCCCAATGCCAACAGTTCCCTGTCTCGTCAGAATTTTTTTTATTTTTTCTTACCCAACTGTCTCACTTGCATTTCTACTTGTATTCATCTTCCATCATCTTGCTCACATGTTTAATCTGTAAATTATTTTATAATCCCCTTTGCATCATCCTCAAACTTAGCTTCCCACCTAATTTCAGTATTTTTGTTAAGCTTGCATAAATAACCTTCTTCTAAGTTATTGATACAGATGGTGAAGCTTCAAGCACTGACCCTTGCAGTATGCCACTAGTAGCCTGCCAACCAGAAAATAACACATTTATGCCTTTTGTTTTCTGTTCTAACAAATCCTCAATCCATGCTAATTTATTATCCCCATTCCTGACTTTAACCTTATGGTTCACATATACTGCACTTTGCTATCATACCAGTGCATTGACCCTGGTTTACCAGAAACATGCCAGAGCAGCAACTGACTTTCTCTAATGAGGCTACCTGCATGTAATTTGTCTTGCCACCAAATCACATCTCTGATAATCGTGCCACTCAGGAAAATAGAGGGGTGGTTCCTTGAACATCTTTACATAACTGCTGCCAGGACACAGATGTGACTGTCAGATGAGGCTGAAGTGTTTGCATGTCTCTTCAGCCAGCAGTGCCAAGTGAATAATCTCCCTTTACCACCTCCTAATATTTCTACCATTATAAATGCCAATATCCAATCCCATTTGGGTCACTCTGCATGGCATTAAGGAATTGCCATGTACAGTAGACACAGACGCCGTGAATCCTGCTGCCATTTTTGGCTGTGGTACTGAATATATGAACTAACCAGTTCTGATAGGATAATTCTGAAGCATAATTCTTTCTCCTTCACCAGCACTGCTTGACCTGATGATGATAAACAGAAAATTTATAGGGAAAAATAGCAATTCCTAAGCCAAGTTATTCACTATGCTCATCCGTTGATAAAGTAGAAAATTGCCTAGGTATGTCCTATCAACAAAAGATGTTACAAATCTGATCTCATCAACTATGAACTCATGGCCTCCTCTAATCACCACAAAATGATGGAAAAATTACCAATCATGTTGTCATTAGGACGAGCTCATCCATTACCTAGTGGATGCTTGCTCTTGGTTTTGCTGGAATCATATTTGCTCCCAAACTAGTCATCTGGATGTGGATGCAGTAGCTGTTTGCCAGGGAAGAGTTGAGAGTAGCTCCCCCAAAGATCAGGAAAACATTTGACCAAAAAAAGAAAAGAAAAGCCGCAGTCTGTGGCTAGGTTATTGACTTAGACAAGAATATGGTTGTCTTCAGAGCTTAGCTATCACAGCTCCAGGGCATCACTGCTAGAGTCCCTTAGAGTTGCATCCTTGGCTGCTTCAACAATGTTCTTTCTTCCATAAGGTCAGGAGTGGAGCAATTAGCTGATAATTCTAGTGTTCAGCTCTGTTCACGACTCCTGATAATGAAGTGGCCTATGCAGACTACAACAAGATTTGGACAACCAGCATCCATACTTGCGCTGAAAAGAGGCAGGTAACATTCACAATACAGTGCTCTGCAATAATAATTTCCAACAGTGGACTTAACGCCATCTCTTGGCCTTCAGCAAGCATTGTGGTTTTGAGTTACTGTCAACCAGATACTCAGTGGACCAACTGGTTCTGAAATAAGGATAGAGACTAATTTTGTGCTGGGTTGTTCACCTCTTGACCCCACTCCCCAAAAAAAACTTCTTGCTTTCCAGCGTTCAAACCAGGATTGTTTAGATATTCATCACTAGACTCAACTTTCGCTGCTATTGAGTCGAAAGCACATTAGTTGATTGACATCTTGCCACTCAGTTCAATATCCATGCTTGTCGTTTGGCTTACTGAAGCTGCAGTATATGCTATGAAGCAGTTATGCAGCAGTTGTTCTGCAAACGTGCTTCAACCAAACCTTCCAGTTCTGCACCCTTTATCTGCAAATAACACTGAGGATACTATTTTCATCCATGTTACACACTTTGCACATCATTGTTCAATATTGATCATAGTCTTTGAATTTCTAACATCTGGAGTTATCACCAGCCACTAGGTTTAAATCATTTCAAGGGCTTACTATCAAGTGGCAAATGGGGATAGCCAATAAGTTCTTCCTTACCACATCCCAAAGCAACATATCTTTTAAAATTAAATTAGAGAACTCTCCATTTGTTCAAAGTAAACCAACTTTTTGGACAATTTTGCAATCAGCTCTTTTGTAGCTTTTATTGGACTACAGCAGTTGAAGAGGGCACGTCAACACCTCTGGGGCAGTTGGAGATGGGCAGTAAATGCTGGTTTAGCTAGCAATGCCCACATCCAATGAACAAGTTGGGAGGTGAAAGTGAGTGACCCAAATCATGCTCAGCAAATCAGTATTGTGCAAAGTGCTGCTGTGCTACGCTTCTCATTTTTCTGACAGTAGTTCTCATTGCTTATTGAACAGGTTTTGTCGTTCTGTGGCTGACTGCCTATTCATTCTGTTTTGGAAACTGGTCCAAGACAGTGTGAAAATATCTTCCTGACTGTTATACTATCATGCTGAATTAATGCTGACACTCTCAACCCAATTATAGTTTGGTACAGACTGATCTTCCAGGCATTAAATGGATTGTGCAGAAGATAGGAATAATTCAAACTGCAGTCAAAGTCATCCTTTGGTTTAATTTAAATAAATTGCATTTTTCTGTCTATTGCGTGCAAAGGTGTGTGTAAATAATATACTTGACATTCTTGGGTTCCAAAATTGAAATATTTTGCATTCGTCTATACGGAAAGCACTTCATTTGAGCATAAAAATTCATAAAATAGTAAACTTCAATGACCCAGAATTTGCTGGAGTGCTGCATCCTATGGTGGATTCTACAGATTAATTTTTTTTCTTCAGCTCTATTGCTGTACGTACGAGTTGATAATACTGCATTACAGTAAATGGGCCATGGGGGCGGTGGGGTGTTGCGGCCTGCCTTCAGGTACAATTATTTTATTCAAAGGTAGAAATTGAGCAATGGATTTATGGGGGAAAAGGGGTGACTTGGGATTTAATTTAGAAAAGTAGGAAAAATGTGTTAAAAGAAGAGAGGATAAAGGAAAGATAAAGGTGCAGTAAGATCTGTTTCTTCCAGGAGGCTTTTTCAAAATAATTTGAGTACCAAGACTGGGCATTTTAAGGTGCCCCCTTTTTAGATTTCTGAGGTTAAAGGCATATTACAACTAGAAATCATTTTGTTAATGAGGTACTTGCACTGAAATGGCAACTGCAATGAGTTAAATTATCAGTTTCCAAACACTCATGGAAGTTGGTGATATTGGTCTATACTAGCAAGGAACAATGGCAGTATGGTGTAAATTATTCATCCATTTTTGATTTGCAGTTCACAATCCAACTTCGCATAATGCCTGGGTTTTAATGCACTAAATCGCATGTTCTTGGTAAATTTTGGGGAATGGACTTGATCTTTCTCCATTTTTTTAATATGTTCTTTTTAAGAAAGTTGTTTTGCATCTAATCCAATAAAGGTTTTTCTGTTTTGATTCTGATTGAAAGTAAATAAGAAAATCCTGGAATTAGTACAGGTTATATTTTTAATTTTTAAAATGCTGTGAAGTTGTTAAAGCTAAATATTTCAATTTTTGACTTTAATTGTATTTCACTTGTAGTCTATATCCACTGATCTTTGCTATGAGCATGACATGTCAAGTTGGAAGCATGTTGGTACAATACTGGGATCTGAATTAAATAATTAAAAAAACTAAAAGTTTCCTGAATCTGTTGACAGGTCCCTAGTTTTTTCACCGATGCAGAGAGAAGGTCTGTGATTGCTGCTGCTGAGATTGCAGGACTTAATTGTCTGCGATTGATGAACGACACCACTGCAGGTAATAAAAAAAAGCACTAACCTATTGCTGAGGTGGATTTTTTGGGCTTAAAACTATTTCTTTGCTGAACGTTGCAAATGTGTATTTCTCTAATAAAAATTAGAGGTGAAAGAATAGTAGGAATGTTTAAGCAGCACTGAATGAAAGTGGTGCATTCTGTCAGATTATACTATATGGCTAGTGCACAATATTAACTTGAAAATACTAATGAAACTAGGGGTTGGTAAAGAACCAAAAGCAATATGTGACCTTAAATTTAGTTATACTAGGACATTTCCCCGCGCCCCCACCCCACTCTGAATTATTCTAGTCAGGCAGCCATACTGAAAATTTTGGGCAGTCATAAAGAAGTTTTGTATCAACAGCACTTCAAAATGTACAATATAGTTGGAGCCAAGCCAATAGCGTATTTTGCTGTGATCACTTGAGGGAGTGCTCTGCTGAAATTTGTAAGGTGTCAAGCTTTTAGGAAAAATGTTTATTCTGTAACAGAATCTTAATTCTATGGGTTGTTTATTTAGGTCATAAAGTTTGAAATTGACAGGATTTTTGGTAGTACAAGTCTTGATTTTATAGCTAAGCGAACCATGCCTATCTACAATAGGATTGAAGTTGGGAACACACGCTAGTCATTTTTTTCCTATAATGTGTTGCTGAATTCGGAGGATTAGGATCATTATATTGTTACTACTAGCAAGAAGCAATTTTCAGTTTCATCAACTTTTGTCTTTTTTTGTTAATACTATATAGCAGGGTTTTTACATGTCGTAATCTGCTTTCTCAATCAGATAATGCTTTATCTGCTTTTACAGGAGGTAGGATTTTTCCAAACAGTGTAGCAGTAACTACAGATGTAGAGATTTGCTTATTAGATCATCTGAAAATCTCTAATTCAGAGAGTGCATTGACAAGTACTAAAAACCAGGGAAGAGATGACAGCAGCATTTTAAAGTAATAGATGATTCTGCGGTTTTTTAAAATTTTAATTCCTATATTTTAAAGGAAGTAAAAGCATCTTGGAGGAATTATAGACCAAGCTTATCATTGGTGATGGAAACCATAATGGCTTCTTACTAGAACTTGTAATAGAAAGGAAACAAAAATTATGTACTGCAAAGTACATAAACAGGATCATGTTTGACCTTTCTCATTTATTCCCTGAAGAAATAACTGTGTGTATATATGGGTAATATAGTAGATCTGATATATTTTTTGATTTTTTTTTAAAATATCTTCAATGGTAGATCTATTTAGAGCATGTAAAGTCATGGACAAGTAAGAATAGAAAATCTAATCACTAAGTAGATTGGCTAAAGATGGGATGTGATTGTCCACCAGAGGAACCATGCATATGCACAATTTAACTTATCTTAATTTAATAAGATGTATTTTAACAAGGAGATACCCAGAACCTTTGTACAAAATATGCTGTCAGGAACCAAGATTTTTTTCCTATTTTTATGAATAGAGGGTGGACAGAATATTACTGAATTGAAAGTGCAATTGCAAAATTTATGCACAATACCAGATTTGAAGCTACAAATAATATTGATGACTCAATTTAAAACAGCACCTCAAAACAAATTAATTTCAGTACAGATGAGTGTCGGAGGGTGCATTTTGGTAGGAATTACTCCTTGGAAAATAAGCATATATGTGCAGTTGAGGAGCAAAGTGATCAAGGTTACAAAGCTACAAATCAGAAGTATTAATGTAGTTTAATAAGGGCAATTGGAATATAAAGCAAGCTAGCTGCTGGAGCTCATGTCTGTAGGGATAGAATTGAAAAGCAGCAAAGTTATGTTAAATATCTCTAAAATGTTGGTTCGACCAAACTTGGAAACCTCAGAGGTTGTGCTTTCTGTATTTTAAATAGGATACAAGTACTAGAGGAAATATTAAGACTTAGAAGGATGATGCACCTGTCAATAAAACAGGCACTTGAGTTTTGAGTTAGTTGAGTTGGCCTGGATTTGTAAAACACAATGTGCTTGATTAATCAGCAATTGCAATTGGAAGGTTGTTGAAGGCAATTTAATACAGTTTAAGAAGGCATTTAACAAAATGTCTCTAAACATTAGTTACTCACACTAAGTGTAATGGAGTAGGCAGGTCTGTATTACCTTGAGGACAGTAAGCAGTGAGTCTTGGTAAATTATTGCTTTCAGACTGGAGGATGGTGGACAGTGGTATTCCACAAAGATCAGTGCTGGGGCTACTGTTATGAAAATGTCATACTTCATATTTCTTGGAGGACTTGCATTTAGAAGAATTGTGAAAAATTTGATTTCTTTCAAGTGTTGTGGAAATATGTAGTGATTTATCTTGCATGGTTTTCCTAGAAATCAAATGACTGGTAATTTGTTTGACTCAATAAGTCAATAAGATCCGGTCTGAAGGAGGTCACTAGACTTGAAACATTAACTCTGATCTCTGTTCACATATGCTGCCAGACCTGAGTTTTTCCAGAAATTTTTAAATTTTATTTTTCTAATTACCAGCGTCCACAGTTCTTTGGCTTTTTGCCTGGTAATAAGTGCTTGCTTCACTAGGCACTTGCTGGGGCTGTTTGAAAAATGATCGGATGGAAGTGCTTTGGCATCTGGAATTAGTTAGGGACAATAAGGCTGTGCAGGTAATCTTTCCTATTCCTGTAATGGAAGCCTCTTGAGTTCAAGGTTGAAACCTATGTGGTCTGAAAGTGTGATTGGAAAAAATTTTCTCTATTGTACTAGCTGTGTCTGCAGACACTCCAGAGATGACCATGCATGATAAGTTATTTGACCACACATGGAGAACATCAGAGGGATAGATTTGAGAACATTCTATGCTTTATCCTTTTGCCTTAAAAAACATTGACCAATGGGTTATTCTTATTCAGAAAGCCAATTTCTGCAGACCTGTCTATTTTTTTCTTCTTTTCCTGAAGTACGTGTGTGTCTTGGGACTCTTTAGAGGGATGAGCACATGTAAATAATCTACATGCCTGTGTTGACCAATTACAGCATCTTCATTGAATAAATTTTGTACTGATAAACCAATTGTATTTACTAAGAAACCTGTTTTGCAGATCATTTTCATCTTAAACCTGATGAAGATATATGGCCAGTTAATCTTGGTAATAGAGAAAAGAATTTTAATTGTAGCATGAGGTGATGCACAATGGCAGCTGGGATAGGGAGAGAGAATTTAGTTCTGTGACAGTTTGAACACATGCACCTGATTTATAAGGATCCGGAAGTGTCATGTGCATAGATCTTGCGAAAGTTGCAGGACATTTTGAGGGAAGAGTTAGAAAAGCATTTGGAATGTTGAGCTTCATAAAATGAATTGAGGACAAAAGCACTGAAGTTGTGATGAGCATGTTTAAAACTTCAGTTAGCCCACAGGTGGAGTTACATTCTGTTGTTCTTGCTATCCTATAGAAGGTCTTTGAGAGGGTGCTGAGAAGATTTGCAAGAATTGTTTCAAGGATGAAGCATTTTTGGCTATGCAGTTAGATCACAAAACCTGCCGTTGCTCCCTTTTGCAGCAAAGGAGACTGAGACGATTTCATAAATGTGTGCAAGATTAAGGCTAGTTTGAACACAGATGAGGGAAACTATTTTCATTAGCTGTTCTATAAAAACCCAGGAGAGACAGGTTTGAGATTTTTGGAGATGTGATGTGGGGAATACATCAAGTGACCATTGACTGCAACTTACTAACTCAAAGGGTGGTAAAAGCAAAGATAATCACTGATTCCAAAAAGAAATTAGATAGCCACTTAAGAAAAGTTGTAGGGATGTAGGATGGAACGGAAATGGGACTGACTGGATTGCTATACAGAAAGCCAGCATAGGTTTGGATTGAATATTGATCTTTTGTGCGATTTATGACTACAAAAAAAAATTTCTGCAATTAAGTTCAATTTTGGTAATCGGGTACTTTGAAAGTAGAAAATTTTAGATGAGGAAGGCAAACTGAAGCTGGAGTAGAATGCTCTTCATGATTGCATCCAACAAACTGATTAAAGCTCACTTTTCCGGAAAAGAGGAAAATGAAGTTGGTTTGATGGCCTTTAAAGTTATGAAGGAGTTCAGTACTTTCTCACGTTTGCCCCCCCCCCCCCCCCCAAAACCAAATATAAGATGGTGACTGATATTTCTAGTAGGAAATTGGATGAAACTTTACCCAGAGAGTGACTGTAATATTGGCACTCCCTAGTTAATGCAACTAAAATAAATACATTTAAGGGGAAACTAGACAAATCAAATGAAGCAGACAATATGGGGCTAGCTGAAGATGGATGGAAGGAAACTGAGATTACTTGCTTTCCTGTTTGCTATTTGAGCATGAGACTTTGACCACATTTCATTCATATCAACATGCGTAAGGGACTTTGCTCCTCCGTATTGAATGTTGGTGAGCTAATGTTCAAAGCCACTGGTGATTTTCCAGCCACTGCTTTGCAACTATATTGTCAAATTTTGTAAAAACATATCCACATGATCTATTGATCTGTTTTCTGTTTTCTAGTTGCACTTGCATATGGTATTTACAAACAGGATTTGCCAGCTCCTGAAGAAAAACCAAGGAATGTGGTCTTTGTAGATATGGGGCATTCAGCCTATCAGACTTCAGTTTGTGCATTTAACAAAGGAAAGCTCAAGGTTAGTAGTTTTAAAAAAAACTTACTTTTCACCTTCCTGATACACATTAGAATTAATTCTCCTTTGATGTTGGAAAAAGTTTTAGATTTATATAGCGCTTTTCACAACTGACAGATGCATCAAAGTGCTTTACAACTGATGAAACTCTGTCAGCTCTCCAATAAGCAAGCTGCCCTGTGGTCCAGGAGGACTATAGCAATTTTACGTTACCTTTAGTGTTTGCAAAAGTAATGTGGCAAATTCATCAAACTTTCACAAACAACAACGTGATGAACTGAATTTTTTGGTGTTTATTTGGGGCAGGATGCTAGAGAAACTCCCCTCCTCTGGTTTGAAATAATGCCGTGGGGTGTTTCCTATTAACCCATGCTGTTTGGTAGGGTATTGTAATAAAAGCAAAACACTACAAGATGATGGAAATCTGAAATGAAAAGTGGTCTGCCAATATCAGTGGAGAGAAACAGTTACTGTTTGGAGTCCAATATGATGATTCTTCCAGGAAGAACTTTTGTTCCTGTTTCTTCCTCTATTTCAGTCAACTAATTGGGTAGGTCATTTCAGAGGGCAGTTAAGAGTCCACCACGTTGTGTGGGCGTGGAGCCACATGTAGGTAAGGACATCAGCTTCCTTCCCTTAAGAACAGTAGTTTATATGACAGTGGTTTCATGGTCATCACTAGACTTAATAATTCTATTTTTTTAATGTTGAACTCAAATTCCACCATCTGCTGTGTGGAGCTGGTGTTTTTCATCACTAATTCAATTTAGTTGGACTTCATTATCTGAAACTAGATTTGTAAGTATAATTAGCTTGGAGGTTTTTTATTTGATTTTTATTTTTGTTACAAGTTGAAATGTATTTTAAAATTTAAGCATTACACTTCCCTTCTTTGAACAATGTCAGTTTTGTCTTTGCCCTTTCTCTTCTGGCATTTAGCTTCGAGACTCTAAGTCATTCAGTATTTTGCCCAAGTGATCATTTTTCGTGTCGTGAGACATTAGTGATAATATGATATTGCCTTTGCAATGGGAGTGAAGTATGGCATTGTATTTGAGCCCTATCTTGTTTACTCTATGTACCTTTTGTTATTATGGGTTGCTGAATAACATGAGAAATGACAATGTTTCATGTATACGTTTTTTTCCCTACTTAAAGATGCTGAGGCTGATGTAGTTCCCTATTAGCCTGACCAAGATAAGCTAATATTTTTAGGCGGTGGGTGGTAGAAAATTAGTCTTGGGCTTTCTTGATTTAGTATCGCTTAGCTACTCTCTGTATAAATCCTTTGAGGGTGCTTGTGGCCCAGAGGTACCTACATCTGAGACAGGAGGCCTGGGGTTCAAGTCCCATCTGCTCCAGAGGTGTGTACTAATATCTCTGAACAGGTTGGTTAGAAAATATCTTGGAGATTTTCGGAACCTCTGGCTCTAAATAACTTAGAGTTTTGGGCTAAAATTGTTTTAAAGCCAGTATAGTCTGCTCAAAACACACCAGGTAGCACAGAAATATGAAATTATCTGTCCAAAGCTTATTTTGGACTTTTAAATAAAGCTCCTAAAGGATTTTCAGTTTATTTCAGTAATACAGAGTAGGAATTTTTGGGAACATTACTAATTTTACTTGGAAATTGATAGCTAACTGAACATGGAAACTTTGAGAAGACCTGATTAATTCAGCAAATTTAATTGGTCCAATTTCAGTACCGTAGTTATCTGTGCCCAATATGTTCAGTATATTTTGAATCTAGGAGTGGTTGAACAGTTGAGCTGCAAATAATTAAACCATTTCTGGTTGAACCTGCATTGTGCCCTGTTTTTTTTTTTTTTTAAATAATTTCAGGTGTATGAGCTTAATATTCAAGTATGTTTTAGAATATTGTTAAAGCTGTTGGTTATTGGAGAAGATCAAGCATTAATGACATTCCTCACCACCCCCACCCCTATCTCTCTCTTTTTCCCTCACAACTCGCACTATAGGTTCTGGGAACTGCATTTGATCCCTACTTGGGTGGAAAGAATTTTGACGAGGTCCTGGTAGATCATTTCTGTGAAGAATTCCAGACTAAATATAAACTAAATGTGAAGGCTAATGGTAGAGCTTTGCTCCGTCTGTACCAGGAGTGTGAGAAATTGAAGAAGCTAATGAGTGCAAATGCATCAGATCTCCCAATGAATATAGAATGCTTTATGAATGATATCGATGTTTCTGGTAGAATGAACAGGTAACGTACTTTGTTTTTTTTATTCATTCCAAATAAGAGTTTTACTATCCTGTGTTTTGTGGAAGTGAAGGAGAAGGGGCGAAACTATTTGAAGGCAATTTGTGGCATAAATTTGTTTTTGGGAAATAATTAAATCTGCTGACAGAGGTCAGTCTGAACATTAGCCATCCTTACAACTAACATCAAACTTGCGGTGTAACGGTTAGCACTCTGGCTTTGAATCCAGCGATCCGAGTTCGAATCTCAGTGGGACCTCTAATTGTTGTGTCCCAACGAGTTGTTTGATTTGTGGGCAGCATGGTGGCTCAGTGGTTAGCACTGCTGCCTCAGCGCCAGGGACCCTGGTTTGATTCCACCCTCAGGCGACTGCCTGTGTGGAGTTTGCACATTCTCCCCGTGTCTGCGTGGGTTTCCTCCCAGGTGCTCTGGTTTCCTCCCATAGTCCAAAGATGTGCAGGTGAGGTGGATTGGCCATGCTAAATTGCCCGTGGTGTTCAGGGATGTGTAGATTAGATGGGTTATAGGGGGATGGGTCTGAGTGGGATTCTCTGAGGGTTGGTGTGGGCTTATTGGGCCGAAGGGCCTGTTCCCACACTGTAGGGATTCTATGATCAAACCATATCTCTGCAAAGGTCACTCTGATGGAAGCGATTGAATTGAATTGAGTGGTTTATTGAAGTCTTGACCAGTTTCTACTATGTGGATTTGAAACTTATTTCATTAATGTACCAAAAAGTAGTGATTGTATAATGAAAACGAATTGTTACCAAATTAACCAGTTCAGGTAAATGGAGTGATTCTGTAAAAGTAGCATTATTTGTAATGTTAACTAGTTGTATTTTGGATTTAATTTCCTTTAGGATCTTTCTACACTTTCATGTATATACTTGTTGAAATCTGAACTCTTGGAATTGCTCATCTCATGTTAATTAAATATTTTTGTCTTTATTACTTGTATAACTCTAATTTAGTATTTTGTTTTTCTTTACAGAGCACAGTTTGAAGAACTTTGTGCCTCATTTTTAAGTAGAGTGGAAACCCCTTTAAAAAGCATCATGGAACAAGCCAGTATGTGATCTCCTTAAAGTTTGTAGCCTTATAACTACATTCTTCAACTCCATATATAAAGAGTCCAGAAGAAGTATAAATTTTCAAGTGCAGTGAGAAAAGTGGATTAGGAATACTTCACATAATTTGAAGGTGTAATTCAGTGCTCATTTCAGAATCTTATTTTCTCTTCTAATTTTTATCATTGAAACCACCCAACTGGACTTACACTATAATAAATAGTCTGTACATTGAAATTCAGTTTGGAATAATAGTTTCAGCAGTTGTCATGCTCCATCTGAAAGATCATTTTAAATTTCAAAATTTATTCCTAAACAAATTTGAATTGTTTAAGTGGTCAACAGGACTACTATTGTTCACATTTAAGTTTCATGTAGCACTGGATTGTAAAGATGGAGTGAGATTAATGCAAGTTAGCTCAGGCTCCTGTATTTTGTACTCCAGTGTCAAACATTCGCAAGGAACAGAGATATACTCAAGTTACATTGTGGTGCACATGTGCTGAACTTCCCTCTTTTAATTACCATTGTGTTTTGAGGTACAGCATTCTTCCTGCGTTATCATCTGACCTCTTGCATTATCTCTCACCTGTAATAAATTGACTTTCCAGACCTGCTAGAAATTCTTCTTCTGATTTTCTTGGGAGGCTGTCCTACAGCTGTACAGGACATTGGTTAGGCCAGTTTTGGAGTACTGCGTTCATTTTTGGTCATCTTACTCGAGGAAAGATGTTATTAAACTTGAAAGGGTGCAGAAAAGTCTTACAAGGATGTTGCCAGGGCTAGAGGGTTTGAGCTATAGGGCGGGGCTGAATAGGCAAGGGCTATTTTCCCTGGAGGATTAGAGGCTGAGGGGTGACCTTACAGGCATTTATAAAATCATGAGGGGTATGGATAAGATGAAAAGCCAAGGTCTTTCCCCACAGGAGGGGAGTCCAAAACTAGAAGGCATGGGTTTAAGGTGAAAGGGGAATAATTTAAAAAGGACCTCGAGCGTGTGTGTGTGTGTGTGTGTGTAAGTAATGAGCTATCGGAGGAAGTGCTGGAGGCTGGTACAATTTCAGTATTTGAAAGGCATCTGGATGGGTATACGAATCGGAAAGGTTTAGAGAGATACGGGCCAAACGCTCGCAAAAGGGACTAGATTGATTTAGGATATCTTGTCAGCATGGACAAGTTGGACCGAAGGGTCTGTTTCCACGTAGGTACATCTTTATGTAGTTTGTCACTAGCCTCAGCATATTTTAAATTAGACTAGTTTACAGTCTCTACCTGCTACCTATTAAAGATACTGGCAGTAGAAGTTATAGTACACTTGAAAGACAATCCACCCAGTTTGAGCATATTTGGGATTCAGATGTGCCAAAAACCATAAAGTAGATTTAGTACACTGAGTTACATTTATTACAATCTGGAAATAACCAGAGCAATAAAACTATAATATTTTCCCCTTTTTCTTCTTGAAATTGAAAGAAAGCCTTTTAAAGGAATAAACATGAGAATTAATAAGTTCATAGAATTTGAGTCATGTTAGATTCTTGACTGAGTGTTGAATGATTTTGAGGGTAAACAGAAAGTAGAGATCCACAATCAGATCAAGCTTAACAATATCAAATTGCAGAGCAGACTCTGGGGGGCTGAATGGCCCACTTCTCCTTCATTCACAGGTTCATGTTTATTTAGTCTGACCTTATTCTAAGCAAAGCAAAGAGGAAAATTCTCTTTATAAACTCTGCAGAAAACAGGAAATGTTAGAATGGTGATTTGGGGATTGAGAGACATAGGGGTTTGGGTAGGGAGAAGCACAAAGACTGTATGAAACATTAAAAGGAATGCTGCCACATTAAAAGTATACAAAAGAAAGAAAGTTATGATGTAATGGCAGTAGACTGGAAATAGGCCAGTGTGGTGCCCCTAGGGGTGAAAAGAAATTGCTATCAGTCTGCAGTTCTGTGAAAAAATAATGAAATCTACTATTAAGAATAAATTTGAGTCCTGTTTGTAGAACAGTTATCTAATCAATGTCTAGAGGAATTGATGATATTTTGGGATTGTAAGCGCTATGATGTGAACCTAGATTTCCAAAAGGCATGTAATGCTGAGGAAAGGCTATTTATAAGCTTAAAGCTGGAACATTGTACTCAACAAGGTGAAATGTCAATTGTATATTTTCATAGTTTTTTCCAGGGGAGCTACCTTCCAAACCACCGACCTGTGCAATAGAGAGGCACTTGGAGATATGACTAATATTGTTCAGAATTGACAATTGTTTTAATAAACTGTCATTGTGTACAAAGTTAGTTGCACCTATTTTAACCTTATTCAAAAAACACCATATAGCTGAAGTAAATGATGCAGGGTGGAGTTCAGTAAGGATTTTGAACCAAATGACTATCTTTATTGTGATATATTATCCTCTGGTTTAGTGATGAATTGAAATTTTGTTTAGGCTTGTTAATTATACAGAAATTGAGATGATGGTTCAAATTGATACAAAGCATCAAGGGACAAGAGCTGAAGCTGAAAAATCACTTTTATGGGTTGCTTACTTCTGAGCCAGGGAAATTAGTGCAATCTAATATAGTAAGACATAGGATCTAACTAGAATGAGTTTGATTTTACTGGCTTTTAAGATGAAGGATAGTAAAACTTATTTCATGTGATTTGGGGAAGGCAAGCAACAGGAGGTTGTACATAAATATTTTCAATACCTTTTGAAAAATGACTAATTGCATTTTATGTAAAACCATTCTTTGGTCATAGTTGTTTTCAATGCATTGTATTTCTGAAAGGTTTATAAACTACAGAATATCAGTGCCAACAGCACTGTTTCACCTGGTTAAACAGTCCAAAGTTGTGTTAGGAATACATTTGTGCTTGTGTAGATACCAATTTAAATCTTTCCACTTTTTTTGGTTGCAATTTGAAAGCAGTTCAATGTGGAGCAGCCTTTTGGATGTCAGTTGTACGTGTATATAAGCTGTCTGATTTTTTGAAATGAGAATAACAAGCTAATGCTTAATTAAGTCACTGTTTTGCACATAAGTAATTGTTAATTCCAAATCAGTGCGCCCTGATAGAAAATAAATATTTTTATTCTAACCTGCTGTGTGAAATATTTATGCATTGTGAAGTTTCTACTTGTTAGTAGTAAGTAGTGAATTTTGGTTGTAGAATTGCAGGTCGAAGACATCTACTCTGTTGAAATTTTGGGTGGGGCAACAAGAATTCCAGCAGTGAAAGAAAGAATTGCCAATTTCTTTCTCAAAGGTTTGAGCACAACTCTTAATGCGGATGAAGCTGTAGCACGAGGTTGTGCACTGCAGGTAAATATTTGGCCGGTATTTTGATCAGGTGTAAACTGGTGAGAGGAGATTTCCCTCCCTTTTTTTTTTGTCTCTAAACGCTAGCTGTCTTTTGAAGTAGGAATCCTTTACACTGTTACTATATGTTTATTTCCAGTCATGTTAATTGTCTTGGTAATGGGGCAAATGGAATAATCCGTACAATATAAATGGTAAATAACGGGCTTGCCAAAATGAGCACATTTTTTGGAATAAATTTCTGAATATAAATTTTAAGTAAACTGTTCAGGACAGTTAGGAACGATTTCAAATTATCAAACATTTGCAATCTGGGCGTAATGCTCAGCCAAAAAATAATTTTAAGATATTCACCAGTTGCATGGTTTGAAAATCTTCTTCAGAAGAATTGTGCAAGTGGTTCCTATCTGTTTTAAGCTGAAAAGGGAGTATCTATCAATAGTTTTTAGTGCGGTACATACCAGGGATCTATGTAAACATTCCAGTTTGCAATAAACCTTTATTTCAAATATTAGAAAAAGCTGCAGTCTGTAGATTAAGTAAAATGTGAATAACCCATACAGAAAAGGGGCAGAATCAACTGCTAAGTGTTAATTAATATTGCGTAATGAGAGAAGATATAGCTTGATGTTATGGAATTAGGACAGAGACCAGTAACAGTCTGATGTCAAATTTGGTTATTTATGTCCTCCTAGGAATGCACGTACATCTTGCTGTTTTGCCAAATTACCTCCCTTGATTTGTCTAAGTATACCAAGAGCTTTCTACTTTTGTAATATTTACAGAAGTTTTAGGCTTAAACTTTGTTCAGTTTAAATTGCATGTTTTGTTTTAAAAGTTGAGAATTAGATTAGTAGACTAGTTTTCAAAGTTTGTCTTCAAAAGATATAATATGTTTTGAATAATTTTTATATTTTCTCCTCCCTGCTCCTTACCCAGTGTGCAATTCTTTCACCGGCATTTAAAGTGCGTGAGTTTTCCATCACAGATGTAGTTCCTTTCCCAATCACTTTAAAATGGAAATCTGCAACTGAAGGATTGGGGTAAGTTGTCCTTGTATAAAGTACCTGCATATCAACATTTTTACCAGCGTTCCTATAATAATTGTTACAAATGCTGTCATTTTCTTGTGTGGAGGGCATTATTTAAATTGAGTGCTGATATCAGAAGGACTGGCATTGGAAGTAATTAGGCCCAGCAGTGTGAAAAAACCCAATTTTAGGTGTCTTTGTTTATCACGAATTCACTTCATCTGGTGTGATTGTGCTGAAAATCTCAACATGTGGTGACTAACTTTCATTTGCATCTACAAACTAACCACCTTTTTAATTAGGTTCTGAATGTGTATATTAAAGTGTTGCAGATATTGCCACAATCTATCATTATTCACAACAGTTTGTTGTTCTTTGATCTTCAGATTTTTCCCCAAATCCGATACCTCGTCAAAATCTCTCCTTTCTCTAGCATACGGCATCACATACTCTTCTTGATTACAGTGGTGAAAAAAAGTTTTTGTCTGTCAGGTTTCTCGTTAGCTTTCAGCCCTTGGTAGTGTTTCCTTAGAAAATAGACTAGATATCCAAAATGTTTGTTTTGCACCACATGATAATACCAGTGGTCAGTCCTATAACTTTTGTGGGAAACAGATAATAAGCCTGCATGAACGATTTTGATTTTGTACTGTCAAAGTATAAACAAGCAAAACTGAAATATGGAATAATCTTAGCATTCTGAACTTTAGATGTAGCTATAGCATAGCACACAATATTCCATTCTTAAATTAATCCCAATAGAACATGTTTGGTATTGAAGCAAGGACCGTTCTCTCTTGGTTTGTTTGTTGCCATGCAACACTGTGCTGAATGTTTGCAAGTAGTGCTGCATAGTGTAGACCTCTTAAACTGAATATAAGCATGTAGGTAAATAGGCAGAATGCAGAGTTTGGGCAAACAGAACTTTGTCCAGTTCCAGGATATGAGCCGTTGTGCACGCTGGGGTTTTTGTTTCCACTTTATATGAGGACTAAACATGAGAATATGTTATTCAGTATTAGAAAACTAAAATATAGGGGTGCAAAGACAAACATGGTAAACTTTGCATCACTTGGCCCTTCAAACCAGAAAACTCCGTGAATTAGACCTCCCCACCCCTGCCCTAGCCCCACAGCATCACAAAAAATACAAATGTGCTGACTGTAATCAGATTTGAGTTTAGCAAAAGTTGTTACTAATCTGGTGCCAGTCTGCAAAATACAGCATTGCTTTTGAAATCTATGAATAGTCATTTGAACCCACATCCATGTGAATGTTAAAATTGCACTTGCAGACTTTAAACTTACAATTGGTGCTCAAGATCTTGCAAAGCCCTCACTTTGAAAATCAAGTGGAACTATTATCTTCATGACAGACTATAGAATGGCATGGGATGGCACAGTGTGTTTCCCCAGTGTATTAATGTACATGAGACAGTTTCGAACATTGATACTTTACATTTATTTTTAAAAAGTACTGAAGTTACTATACTGGATATCAATCTATTGGTCTGAAATGATTGCAAAAGAACTGGCTGCAATCACTCCTCCCAATAATGGGCTAACCAATTTTTTTTTTTTTTATTTTATTGGTGTCACCTAATCCTGAGGCATTTTGGATAATGCAAATTGTACTACAACCTAAAGTAGAAGTGCACGTATATAATGTCAGGTGAAAGCCAAATCAAGAAAGTTATTTTGAATCTTTAGTGCACTGTTTAGATTGCAATTGAAATATTGTTTTTAGTTCTAGGCACCCATTAAGGGAATGAAATCAAAGTCATGGAAAGATTGCAGTAAAGATCTATTAGTGTATCACTACAAGTTGCTTGTTCCACTTTCTGAAACATGAACAAATGGTTAACACTGAGCTGTTTAGAAACGTAGCAATGTGAACAGACGATATCTTGCTTAGTAATGGTGAGCATTAAATTTAGTTATCTTGTAAGTTGTTTCTGAGTGTATGAATTCTTTGACAGAGAGTGTGAAGTTTTCAGCAAAAACCATCCAGCACCATTCTCCAAAGTCATTACTTTCTACAAAAAAGAGCCTTTTGACCTGGATGCATATTACAGTAATCCACAGGAAATTTTATATCCTGATTCCAGAATCGGTAAGGCAAATTTTTTTTTAAACATGAATGTTTCTAAAGCATAATTCTAGAGGTCGTGTAGCTGGTCGGCATGGCATTGACATTAGGATGCTGTCTGAATGGCTAAGAAACTCTTCTGAGTTGTCCATTTGAAAAAAAACCGTAATATAGTGAAGAGTTGTTAATGTACTTTATTTGAAGGGGCTGGTAGTTAACCTGATGTCAGTCTTTTGGTTGAAACTTTCCAACTGATGAATATACTGTGTCAAATTGGTCACTTCCTTCCCTGTCAACTTCTAGCTGGAGATCAGCATTTCAGCTGTCTTACCAAATTTCTAATTGTTAACAGAAGCCTGACAATTCTGAGTCATATCTGTGCATTTCCCAAAAGAGGAAGAAAACTGTTTTTCAGTTATTCTGAAATTTATAAATAAAAGGTCCCATTTCTTACAGCTTCTCACTGCCCATGTGCAACCCACCCACACCTTCCCCCCCCCCCCCCCCCCGACTCCCAATCTGCTTGGAAAGGAGAGATCCTTGCTAAGTTATTTCAAATTAGCTAAGATATGCCTTACCAAATTTCTCGATTTTTATCATCAACTTAAAGAACAAGTCTGGGGAAATACTGTTAGGCATCCAGGAAGTGGCAGAGGATTGGAAAAAGCAGTGTTTGTTGACACCATAACTGTGAGTAACTACACGTTTGCTCGATTAGGAATGCCTGTGCTCACAATTTCAAACACTGCATCACATAAACTTTATATGTGATGTCACGCAGAAGATTGTGTGTGATTTTGATCTGGGGCTCAGTGGTGGGGGTTGGGGAAAGAATCTCCTCCTCCTGTGTGTCCTGAGTAACGGATCACCCATTTAAGACAGATCAGGTTTTTTTTGTGATGGATATGTGGAATTGTTTACGACAGGGCTTTCGAGTCAAGTATGTTCAAGGCTGAGATAAATGGAAAGACTTTAAACAATATGGGAATCCAAGGTTGTAGGGAAAAGGCAGGGTGGAGTTGAGAATTATCAGATCAGTTATGATCTCATTGAATGGCAGACTGGACTTCAAGGATTTAAGTTATTTAAGAAAAGTGGTAAGGAAAAGTGTGTGAACTATAGTCTGCTGAGTCTGACATCAGTGGTTGTTAAATTGTTACAGGGAATTTTGAGGGACAGGAATTACATGTATTTGAAAAGGCAAGGACTGATTAGGGCTAGTCAACATGGCTTTGTGCCAGTCAACTGACAGAGCTTTTTGAAGAAGTGACCAAGAAGACGAATGTTGTCAGCAAGGATTTCAGCAAGGTGTTTGACCAAGTTCCACGTGGTAGGCTGATTAGCAAGGTTGGATTACACGGAATCCAGGGAGAACTAGCCATTTGGATACGAAATTGGCTTGAAGGTAGGAGACAGAGGATGGTGATGGTGGTCGGTTGGTTTTTAGGCGAGAGGCCTGTGACCCACAGTGTGCTGCAAGGATCGGTGCTGGGTCTACTGTTTTTTGTCATTTATATAAATGACTTGAATATGAATATATGAGGAATCATTAAGTTTGCAGATGCCAAAATTGGTGGTATGGTGGACGGTGAAGAAGATTCTCAGTACAACGGAACCTTCAGATGGGTTGAGGAGTGGCAGATGGCATTTAATTTGGACAAATGTGAGGTGTTGCATTTTGATAAGGCAAATCAGGGCAGAACTTATACCCTTAATGGTAGATTCCTGGAGAGTGCTGACGAACAAAGAGTCCTTGCAGTGCAGGTTCATATTTCTTTTGAAGGTGGAGTCACAGACTGGGTAGCGAAAATGGCATTTGGTATGCTTGTCATTCTTGGTCAGTGCATTGAGTACAGGAGTTATGATGTCATGTTCCAGCTGTACAGGACATTGGTTAGGCCAGTTTTGGAATACTGTGCTCGTTTCTGGTCACCCTCCTATAGGAAAGATGTTAAACGCAAAAGGGTACAGAAAAGATTTGCACAGATGTTGCTGGGGTTGAAGGGTTTGAGCTATAGGGAGAAGTTGACTAGGCTGGGGCTTCTTAACCTAGAGCATTAGAGGCTGAGGGGTGACTTCATTGAGGTTTTTTAAAACATGAGAGACTTGGATAAGGTATATAGCCACGGTCTTTTTCCCAGGGTAGGGGAGTCCAAAACTAGAGGGCATAGATTTAAGGTGAGAGGAGAAAGATTCAAAAAGGACCTAAGGGGCAACTTGTTTACGTAGAAGGTGGTGCATGTCTGGAATGAGCTGCCAGAAGAAGTGGGTAGAGGCTAGTACAATTACAACATTTAAAAGGCACCTGGATGTGTATTTGAATAGGAAGGGTTTAGAAGGGTTATAGGCCAAATGCTGGCAACTAGGATTAGATTACTTTATTGGCATGGAAGAGTGGGACCAAAGGGTCTGTTTCCATGCTGTACAACTCTGGCTGAATTACCTACTCCTCCTCCTGTGTCTTATGGTCTTATGTGCTCACACTGCTGAAATGTTGTAATCACTGTTGACTTGGATTGGGATTCCCTGTCTACGGGTCATACCGCTCAATTATATTCTCTATTCTTTTGCAGGACTGCTCATTTCTAGGCTGTTTGCATACATGTGCATCCAATTAAAACAACCTATTATTCATGAAACATTTGCCAGCTGCCCAATCATCTGCATCCATCTTGTGGATAATATTGTGGCTTACTAAATATTATTTCTCCCTATTCCTCAATTGTCCCAACCCAAAATTTATATTTATTTTTAGTTTTACTCCCTTTGATTACCATCTTAATTGTCTTGTTTTTCAATGTTGTATCAGTCAGTACCTTGATCAATAAAATATTTTTATTACCCTTCAGGCTGCAATACCCTTTTCCTGTCACTCAACTTGTCAACTAGCTAAGTATTCTGGGGACTCATTCTTCAACACAGATTTATCATGCACCACATATCATTTCTTTACACTCACGTGGTGGCCAATCTTTTAATCCTGTATTGGGATTTCACATTCATAAGTCATCTTTACACGTTTCCCTATCTGTTGGATGTGGTCTTCAGTGATTTTTTCCCCAAAGCTTTAGTTTCCGCAATATTTGCTTTCATATCTAAATCAGAGACCGCATGGAAAAGCTCCCTTTCGTATCATGCCTGTCGTTTCTGCACATTCATGTACTGTATTCTATTTATCAAAGGTTTACCAGGTCCAAGGGGATTGTTGTCTATCTTCCTAATCACATTTTTGCGAAGCTTTCATTGTCTTCAAAAGGTTGTACCATTCGTTAATTTGCAAATGAAATAGAAACTTTGCTATTTAAGTGTAATTTTCTCTGGTGAAGATGTGCATATTGTCTCTCTCATTCTTCTGGTCAGCCTTGTGAACTTTCAGGTAATCTTCTCAGGACATCATAGTTGGGGGTGGTGGCGGCAACTGTAGATTTTCGTTTATGTCGCTTTACGTGGTCCCAAAGTCTTGGACAATGAAATTCACTTTGAAAAGCTATCAAATTCACTTCTCTCAAAACACTAATGACAAGGGGACACATCTCCAAGAGAAAGCTGTCAACTTACTTGTGTATCAAATTGATATCCTGTTGACATACACCCAGTTCAGTTATTTCCATTCTTATCTGAAAGTGTTATTTTTATATGTATGTTAGAACCAAGAAGGTAACTAGGGAAAGGATAGATCCACCACTCAAGGACAAATTTGTATGGAGCCAGAGGAAATGGATGAGGTCCTTTTTAATGAGTACTTTGCATCAGTATTTACCAAGGAGAAAGACATGGATGATAAATTTAGACAGAGGTTTGTTGCTGCTCTAAGGCATGTCGATTATTAAAAAGGAAATTGTGTTCTGTCTTGAAAAGCATTAAGGTAGTTAAGTCCCCTAGCCTGGTGGAATCTATCCCAGAATTCTAAATGAGACAAGGGAGAAGATTGCTGAGGCCCTGAAGATTATTGTTCATTTGACCAGGAAGGGGAACAGGGATAATCCGGGGAAACTAGAGGCTGGCAAACCTTATATCAGTGGTAGAGAAATTATTGGAGAAGATTCTTAGGGATAGGATTTACTTGCATTTGGTGAAGAATGGACTTATTGGGGATAGTCAACATGGTTTTATGTAGGAAGTCTTGTGTCTCAAACTTAATTTGGGTTTTTTTGAGGATTTGATTGAGGTAAGGTAGTGGATGCTGTGCACATGGACTTGTGTAAAACATTTAAGAGTCCCTCATGATCCAGAAGATCAATTCACATGAAATCCATGTTGAGTTAGCAAATTGGAAACAAAAATGTCTTGGCCATAGAAGAATGAGGTAGTTGTGGAAGGGTATATCTCTGACTGGAAGTCTGTGACCAGTGGTGTTCTGTCAGTGCTGGGACCTTTGTAATAAAAATATAAATGACATGGATGAAAATGTCAGTGGCCTGATTAGTAAGTTTGCAGATGACATGAAAACTGGTGGAGTTGTGGAGGAAGGATATTAAAAGATGCAGCAGGATATAGATCAGCTGGAATGTTGGGTGGAGAAATGGCACTTAGTTTAATCTGGATGAGTGTAAGATGATGCATTTTGAAAGGTCAAATGCAAGAGGAAAGTATACAGTAAATGGCTGAACACTTAAGGGCATTGATATACAGAGGAGTCTTGGGGTCCAAGTCCATAGTTCCCTGGAAGTGGCAACGTAAATGGATAAAGTGGTAAAGAAGGTGCATGGCATGCTTGCCTCCATCGGTAGGGGCTTTGAGTATAAAAGTTGGCCAGTTGTGTTGCAACTGTGTAAGACTTCAGTCAGGCCACATTTAGAGTGCTGTGCGCAACTCTGGTTGCCAGACCATAGGGAGAATGTGGAGGCTTTGGAGAGGGTGCAGAATAGGTTTACTAGGATGTTTCTTGGATTGGAGTGTATTAGCTATAAGGTGAGGTAAGACAAACTTGAATTGTTCTCTATTATCAGAGGCAAAGGGGCAACCTGATAGAAGTATATAAAGTTGAGAGATGGTAAAGGTGATCTGAGTGGCAGTATCAAATATAATGGTCATAAGTTTAAGGTTGGGGGGGTACAGTTTTTTTTTTCACAAGGTAGAAGGTGCTCTGCTAGAGGAGGCATTACAATTCACAATTCCATCAATTTTCTGGTTGAAATTCATTTCTTCCAAACATTTAAGATTTCTAGTCTTTGTATTTTGTGAAACCTGCTGTAGCCTTTACGCCGGCTGTGCGTTTATATTAACTCTTGCATGAAGGCATATTTTTACCCAGTAACTTTACAATTTTTTTGAGCACAAACTCAAAAGTATTTTAGATTCATGTTAACTATTTCCAAACATTTGAGCTTTTCCCTCAAACACCTATTTTAATTTTTTTTTAAATATTTTGATGTTTGCAAACAACATTTCAGCTGAATGCACTGCAATAGGATGACCATTTTCCATCTGTAGTCCTAAAGATGCCAGCAGGCTGTTTGAGCATAAAAGCATCATAGCTGAATTAAAACCCAATCTTAACTGGCCTCTTCTTTGTAAGCCTTTCCATCAGGAGTCACTGGGTTGTGATGACGTTTGAAAAACCTTTTATTTCTTTATCTGAGCACGGAACTGTGGCTAACCCTGGAATCCCTTGCACCTCATATGCTACTTTGACTGAGATCAGTTAGTCAGACTAGAAATGGAATCTGAAATTTTCCTGATATGTAAGCCTTGGTACTCACTGTCTTAATCAGCAGACAGTTAGTATCACAGATAAGTACAAGCCTGGATTTATCCCTACTTTTGATTTCAGTATTATTTGAGCTCTCCTGTACATAAGGCTTGCACTTCTCTCAGAATGTGGAACATCAATACTTAAGGCAGGTAATTAACAAAGCGCATTCAAATAATTAAACATTGCAAATAATGGATTTGTAATACATGATTTTCTTGTGTAGCTGGTATTTTACATTATTTTTGGACTGTAGCTGCTTGTAGACTTTCCAAATTGTCAATTAATGCTGTGATTTTCAGCCAATTCTGGGATGTTTTTTAAAATGAAAATGTACTAATCTATAAATAACCCCTCTAGTGCTTTATTTAATAACATTACGATTTGTTTTGATTCAGGTCGGTTTACTATTCAAAATGTGATCCCTCAAAATGATGGTGAAAATTCAAAAGTCAAAGTCAAAGTTAGAGTCAATATCCATGGTATTTTCAATGTGTCCAGTGCATCACTGATTGAGAAACAGAAACCAGATGGAAGTCAGGTTGAAGATGTTCCAATGGAAACAGATCAACCCCCTCGTGGCACAACAAATGCAAAAACTGATGACCAGGTATACTATACAAAATAGTGAACATGACAAATCCTAAACTTTAACATTAGTCTTTCAAAATCTATGTTACACATTGCTGTCATTTTGGTGCTTTGTTCCGGAAATCTCTCTGATTAGAAACACATTTAAACAAAAATATAGCAATGATCATTACTTTTTTAGTATTACATATTTTGAATAATTTGCATTAACAGGTGGTTCGGTATCTTTTGACAGTCTGTCTGTCTGACTCTTTAGATTATGTTATGACACCGGGACAACAGGCCAAACTAAGTCAGCCACACTGTCACTGGAGTTGCAGTGTGGTGAAATTGAAATATGTCATGACCCTCTCAATTTCTGAATTGATCCTGAACAGGCTTTGTGAATAACAGAACTTGGACACCAAGTGTATATCTTAAACAAAAATTAGCAGTTTGTTATTAATCTAATTTTAGCAGAGCAAAGCTAAACAACAATGTAAGCTAATTAATGTCTGTTTAAACTCAGTTATCTTTGATCATAAATATCTCTCTCTCTTTCCGCACCCCACCAACCTCTCTCCTCCCCGACCCTTCACAACAGCTCCCAGCAGACTCCACAGAATGACTTATTTCTTTATAAGCTAGAATTGTTTTTGAGAACATTCAACAATTCTCTAACTGGATAGCAAACTAAGGAGGCTAAAATCAAAGCAGCTTCTGAGCACACAGCCTTCTGTTCAAACTAAAGGTCAAAAGGCTGTTCAATCTGTGGTTTCACTTTTTCAGCATTCTGTGATTTGGCTCACAGCACTGGCCTCCCTTGATTGATCGATGCAACATCCAACCAGTTACAAAGTCCTTGAGTATAACACGTCCTGGTGCTGAATCATCTGCAGTGTTCTTAGAATAAGATTAAACTGCAGTTATCTTTCCAGGCCACTTCCCGTGCATAAATATCAGTTTGTTTGTTCTTTTTTTTTCCAATATACAAGCTGCTGTTTGAAGTAGAGAATTGAACTTCGTTCACCGTTCCAAACCAAAAATATGAAAAATAAAGAAAAAAAAAGTGATGGTTTCAGCATTTCTCCAGTTCCTACGCAAATATTTGTTAGCACAATATTCCCAGTGAGGGAATTGCAGTTGATTTTTAATTTTTTTGCTATGTCATTTCCTGAAATGCATGTACAATTTTAGCGTGGATCACTGAATAGACTGTGGGTTTTTCCCACCTCTTGCCCCAGTTCAGAAGCATTTAAGAAAAATGAGGTGCCCCTACATCTATCCACAACTCGGACCAAGGGAAAGGACCTACTCCCCAGTTCTGAGCTCAGGCAATGGGATATCTGTTGTACCATATTAGAAATGGAATAGCACCATTTGAGCTAGTTTTTTTTTTTTTTAATCCTATTTACACAAAAATTTATTGTAAAGTTTTTCTGGGGATGGGGACAGGGGAGGAGAGTAGAGGTTAACATACAAGACAGTCTGGTTTCATAGAGTCATAGTGGTACAGCATGGAAACAGACTCTCCGGTTCAATGCATCAATGTGGACCAGATATCCCAAACTAATCTAGTCCCAAAATGTTAGCATTTGGCTCATATCCTTCTAAACTCTTCCTACTTAAATATTGTAATTGTACCAGCCTCCTCCACTTCCTCTGGCAGCTCATTCCATACACGCACCACCCTCTGCGAGAAAATGTTGCTCCTTGCGTCCCTTTTGTATCTTGCCCCTCTCGCCAATAAATCTATGCGTCCTAGTTTTAGATTTCTCTACCCTGGGGAAAAAGACCTTTAGCCATTCACCCTATCCTTGCTCCTCATGATGTTATTAACTACTATAAGGTCACCCCTCAGGCTCCAATGCTCCAGGAAAATAGCCCCAGCCTATTCGGCCTGTCTGTGTAGCTCAAACCCTTCAACTTTGGCAAACAGGAACAAACCCTGACTATCCGCCATGAGACTGGACACTTGCAGAGAAGAGCACACCTGTGAACAGACTGTGTTTTCAATTAGAGAATAGGTACTGCAAAATCTCAGTTGCCATACTGCCTTCAATACTTACTGGGGCATCCTCTTTTTAGTGAACTGCTGGCAGTTTGCCTGACCCAAGTATCATAACATTAGGTTACAATACAATACAATAGGTGACCACACTTGGAAGCATCTGATATGACTAATTTGTGAAAGATTTAACCAATGCATGTCTGGCTATGATCTTATAACGATGTTCTGAGAAGCTTTAAAATGACAATGACTCAGTAGTTGAGGAGCAATGGATACCATTTATCCTTCGAGTTCATTGGTTGTGGTTTTAAACTTATACATCTGGAGAGTAACCTTTTTAAATGGAAAAGACCATTCTGTGCTTGAGAGAATAATTATGCAAACTGTTGAGCAATTGGAAGCCATCCTGTTACATAGGTGATGGTTCTGAAACAGTTGATATTTGAGCTTTAAGGGTTCTACTCAGTCTGATGTCACAGCATCTGGGTGAAGAATCAGTTCAACTCTGGCACGGTTTTCTAATGCAAGCACATGTATCTTGCCCACCGTTTGTTAGGACTGGTTAATATGATTATAAATCGGTGCAACCCATGTATAGTTATTGAGATCTAATAAAGTAAATCTTCACAGCCCATCCTCACCACAAACAACTGAATTGCCCCTTACAGTAGCACCAAAAGGAGGATTAGTGTTGGCATTCACCCAACAGCACAAACCATCAGTGTTTTGTACCCTGGCATCATATCATTTTACATTACATCCTATCTTGACTGAGTTTGGCAATTTGAGAGAGTGAGAAAGCAAATCAGAAGGTTTCAGAAACTGAAACACATGCAGTAAATCAGGTGATCTAATCCGAATTAAGAATTTGAGGATAATCATGGTACATGATCTCCCTTTGCCTTGTTACGCTGAGATTTATCTTCTTATTTTTTTAGAAACAAATACAGGTTAATATTTGGGCATTAGTGGCCATTTTGGGTAATAATACTGACCTCTTTCTTTGGTTGAAATTACAGTTGTTTGCACTAGCTTCCAGTAGTAAGACGTTTGCTACTTTTATTGGAGTGCATTTTTACCAATGTACTTTCTGTACTTTGCCATTTCTTTTTCAACATCAATGGAAACTAATGGGCGTTTTACATTTAAGGGTTATATGCAAGTTGATCAGGAAGAAGTCCATTCACACCAAAAAGACCAAGCCGAAGAGCAGAATGAAGCTTCTCAGGCACCTCGCACTGATAACGAAGAAAAAGTTGGTAAAACCGTATATATTACACAAACAATTTCCCAGTTTCTATGATTTGTATTTCATAACTTTAAATCTCTGCAGAATGATCCACCTGTAGAAAATAAACAAGATGATAACACAAAACCCAAAATAAAAGTGAAGAGTGTGGACTTGCTGATTCAAAGTGATCTGCCCCAACAGCTTAGTCAGGATCTTCTCAACACTTATGTTGAAATAGAGGTATGTGCCCCATTAAATAAATGGATTATCCAGAATCCTACATTAACCTTTCTGCTTAATATCTGTTGTGTAGGGTTATAAGAGAATCATCTGTTATAATTTTTAAGTTTTTCTCTGAATATGGATATGACCATCTTTATAATTCTTATCCTAATTGCTCTGAAAAATGGCATGAGGATCTTATTGAACTGCTGCAAGTTTAATGAAAAGTAGTGGTGTGTTAGGCTATTCTGGAAGGTAGTTAAGTGTCAGCCATGTTAGCATGGGATTTGAGTCACATAGGCCAAACTGGTAAAAATAACAGATAACAAGGTGCAGAGCTGGATAAACACAGCAATCCAAGCAGCATCAGAAGTGCAGGAAAGGTCTGGACCCTTCTTCAGAACTGGGGGAGGGGAAGGAGATTCTGAAATAAATAGAGCAGGGGAGGCGGATGGAAGATGGATAAAGGAGCAGATAGGTGGAGAGGAGACAGACAGGTCAAAGAGGCGGGGATGGAGCCAGTAAAGGTGAGTGTAGGTGGGGAGTTAAGGTGGGGATAGGTCAATCCAGGGAGGACGGACAGGTCAAGGAGGTGGGATGAGGCTGGTAGGTAGGAGGTGGGGGTGGGGGTTGAGGTGGGAGGAGTGGATAGGTGGGAGGAAGGACGGACAGGTTAGGGAGGCGGGGACGAGCTGGGCTGGTTTTGGGATGCGGTCGGGGGAGGGGAGATTTTTGAAGCTTGTGAAGTCCACATTGATACCATTGGGCTGCAGGGTTCCCAAGCAAAATATGAGGTGCTGTTCCTGCAACCTTCGGGTGACATCATTGTGGCACTGGAGGAGGCCCAGGATGGACATGTCGTCCAAGGAGTGGGAGGGGGAATTGTAATGGTTCTGCATGCTCACCTGCACATCTGCTAATGTGGCATACTGTATCCACTGTTCCCGATGTGGCCTCCGCTACATCGGGGAAACGAAGCAGAGGCTTGGAGACTGCTTTGTGGAACACCTACGCTTGGTTCACGACAAACGACTGCACCTCCCAGTTGCAAACCATTTCAGACCCGAAACATCAGCTTTCTTGCTCCTCTGATGCTGCTTGGCCTGCTGTGTTCATCCAGCTCTACACCTTGTTATCTCAGATTCTCCAGCATCAGCAGTTCCCACTATCTCTGGTAAAAAATAACAGCTTTCTTCTTATAAAAGATATGTGCACGTCTTAGTATTTTCCACAAACCTTACTGTTTCATGTTCTCCTTAGGCTCAGTATCACTGGTGCCAATGCAAAAGTGAGCTTGTAAAGAGAAAGGTAGTTGGTGATGGGGTGAAGGTGAGAACAGAAAGATCTGCTGGTAAGAATGAGAGGGAACATGTGCTGAAGGTAGAGGAGGACAGTGTACTGGGGTCGGGGTGCTAGAAGCATAGAGGAGCGTTTGTAATTGGAGTGGGACATGCAAAGGAGTCTCTTTCTTAATAAGTAGCTTTGCCTGTGGAAGAGGCAAGCTATTCCCAAGTTAGTATCTGCCAGTGAATGCAGAGAACCCAGTCTAATCTTTGTTTTATTTTGCTGGAGTTTTTTCCTCTGTAAACACAAGCTCCACTAAAATTACTTCCTTGACATTTCTGTACAAAAGTGTCTTCTAACTTGTTTCAGTACAAGTTTTGTAACGAAAGAATAAATTCTAATGCTGCGTTCTGTTTCACAGGGTAAGATGATTATGCAGGACAAGTTAGAAAAAGAAAGAAATGATGCCAAAAATGCTGTTGAAGAATATGTGTATGAGATCAGAGACAAGCTTTATGGAATTTATGAAAAATTCATCAGTGAAGCAGTAAGTAGTTTATTCCATCAGCTGATCAGTATGTTGATGTATTGGATATGTACATCAGGGTGGAAACAATTGATTCATATCTTATTTTACATAGAATTATTTTAGTCTGACATATGATTTTAAGAATAGCTTCAAATAATCTCATAAATATGCATTAGGATTGCCTTTGAATATTGGCAGATATCCGGGAATACTTTGCCTTTTTGGTTTTATATCTGGGTGACAAGATGATGACCAAAATCAAAGGGTAGAATTAAAATGCAAAATGTTTTGAATAAATACATCACTGGATTTTTCCTTTCTGACAATTTCCTGTTTCCATGCTGGAGACATTATTTCTTTGCTGCGAGCAATTTCTGAAAGCATAAGTAACAGCATCTTTATTTAAGTACAATAGTAATTATTGACAAGCTGGAAGATGCATCTTCAAATTAATTTTGCCCTTCAATGGCATACAGGCTTCTACTTCCAGCATTGATGGGTGAATATTGTTTGAGCAGGAATAGTCATCCTTTTTATCGTCTTCCTAACCAAAGAGCACTGAGATCTGTTAATTGAAGATGTCTCGTAGTCTGTAGCTTTCTACTTTCTTGATAAAATCATATGGCCGTAAAAGTAACTTAACTGGCCGTCTGTGTATTCTAATGATTGTCTGGCAGTCACCAAGCAGACTTGTCATTTTTTTTACTGAAGGTTGTAACAGTTGAGGCGCAAAGAACTGTTGCGAAGCATTTTGTAAGAGAAAATCTTAAATACTAGAACTGGTAGATGATACAAATGCAAAGGGAAAGACTTTCACTCCAGTACATTATTTCGCCAAGTAAAACTTTTTAAATGTTTAGTTCCTCCCACTCCTAACAGTCTATTACTCATGATCATATATTTTTGTTTCGAAATTGCTTTTGTTAATTGCATCCGGATGGGTTTTAAATTTTTAAAATTTACTGTCTGTTGTACGTCATGCCTAGAGGGAGGCACATTATTTTGATTGTGTTGGCTTGGTTGAAGGGTAAATTTTAGGGCATACAATCTTTAGTTGTGGGTTCAAGTCCTCTGCGAGCACATAACCAGTATTGTGCTGAAGAGGAGGTGTCACTGTTTCAGATAAGGTATAATTTTGGTCGCCGTTAGAATGTTTCATTACTTTACATATTTGTAAGTTACACCTCATGTATTTTTGCATTTTCTTTTGTTGAAGGTGCAGTATAAATGCAAATTGTTATTGTCCACCTATTCTTGTTGGCATAAAATTCCTTGGTACAATTGGGGGAGGGGGAGAAAGCAGGCAAGTTGCTAAACAATGAAAGTAGTGGGTGGGACTAGATGATCTTCATTCCTTGCTGTTTCTTACTTTGCAAATAGTCACCATGAATGTTGTAGACAATGTTTCATAAATAATCGGCTATGGTATGTTTTATGATATCCAAAGAACATCCAACACTGAATAAATGAATGACACCCTACAGCATTCCTCTAACACCAACACAACACCTCCCAATTCTGCACCTTCCCATATAAGTGCAGTGGGTGCGGCACCTGCCCCTTTTCCTCCCGGCTCACCATGAGCCTAAACGGCCTTTTCAGGTGAAGCAGCATTTAACCGCCAATCTTGTGTGTTGTATTTGCTGCACCCAATGTGGCCTACTCTACATTTGAAGAAACCAAATGCAGACTGGGTGACTGCATTGCAGAACATGTCTGGTCCATGCGCAAGCATGACCTGACCTTCCCGTAGCCAGTTATTTCAACACAGCTTGTCTGTTCTCTGCTTACTGCAACATTCCAGTGAATCACAGCACAAACTGGAGGAACAACCTCTCCTGTTCAGACTGGGCACTTTACAAACTCCTGGACTTGATATTGAGTTCAAGACCTTCAAATTTTGAACCCACACCCATTCCTCCCCTCTCCTTTTTTTATTTAGTTTTATTTGTTACATTGTCACCATGTTACCACCCTCCCCCCCCAAAGTGGGACTCGGTTCTTTTGATTCTTGCAGTTGGACACAACGTTGTTCTGCCATTCTTGCATTCCAATCACTTAACATGAACTACCATCATCCTCCCCCACCATTGCATAATGGTGCCCCGTCCATATTTCACATCAGCTCTGAAGTCATCTAGACTTGAAGCATTAGCTTGATTTCTCTCCATGGATGCTGTCTGATCTGATGTGATCCCCAGCATTTTTGGTTTTCAGTACTGTATAAATGCCAGTTTTGTATGTGGATTTTGGATGTAAAGCCCCAACCCTATTTGAGGCTAAAATCTAGACTTAAAAATTCTCCAATGATTTCTTTCAAACTCTGATAGTGGGATGCTTTCAAAAGTGTGATGATGAGAGTTCAGAGTCAGTGTGTTCCTGTTAGTGAAACGTAGGACTAGGGAACAATGGATGAATAAGAAATTGAGACTCTAGTCAAGATTAAGAAAGAATTCTGTTAGATATAGAGAGCTAGGTTCAGGTGCATCTGTTGAACAGAATAAAGTGTTTAAGGGCATTCTTAAGAGGGAGATAAGGAAGGCAAAGAGGGGCCATGAGAAAGCCTAGGCAAAGAGATTCTAGTTGCTTTCTTGCTCTTAACATATTTGTAGAGAGAGATTTGGCAAAGAGGTTGTCTTTGTGTTGAACCTCCAAGATGGGAGAAATATTAAATAAGTATTGTCAGTTTTTACTGTGCAGAAAGAAATGGGAGGCTAGATTACTCGGGGAAATAATGTTGATGTTTTGATAACAATTCAAATTACAGAAGAGGTCTTTTTAAAAAAAAAAAAAAAAAAAAAACAACAAACAAACAAAAGTGGATAAATCTTCAGGGCCTGATCTAGTGTATTCTATGATGCTCTGGGAAGTTAGAGAGGAAATTGCAGAGCCCCTTGAAGTATTTGTTATCCAAAACTGTTTGAGGTACCAGATGACTGGAAAGTGGCTAACATTGTCTTTTTTTTTAAAAGAAGGGATATATAGAAAAGCCTGGGAACTATAGGTCTGTGAATCTGACTTTGGTGGGTAGGTTGTTGGTGGTTCTGAAAGATAGGATTTATATGCGCTTGGAGAGGCAAAAAATGATTTGGGATAGTCAGCATGGTTTTGTCCAAAAGAAATAGTGTTTCTCAATCAAGCTTGAATTTTTTGAGGAAATAACCAAGAAGATTGAGGGCAGAGCAGTAAACATCACTTAATTGAACGTTAGTAAAGCCTTTAACAAAGTTCCGCATGGTTAGACTATCTAATAAAATTAGATCACAACGGGATTAAGGGTGAGCTTGCCAATTGGATACAAAATTGGCTTGATGGCAGGAGACAGTGGTGGGCGGTTTTTCAGACCGGAGGCTTGTTACTGGGTTCACTTTTGTCATTTACATAAATGGTTTAGATGAGAACATAGGCATGGTTAGTGGGTTTGCAGATGATGCCAAAATTAGTGGTACAGTGGACAGTGAAGAAGGATAGCAAAGATTATACAGAGATCTTGATCAATTTAGTCAGTGGGCTAAGGAGTGGCAGGTGGAGTTTAATTTGGATAATTGCAAGGTATTGTGTTTTGGTCAAACAAACAAGGGTAGGACTTGCACAATTAAAAGTAGAGCCTTGAGTAGTACCGTAGTAGAAACCTAGGGATTCATGTGCATAATTCCTTGAAGTTTGCATCACATGGAGACAGGGTGGTTAAAAAGGCACTTAGCACCCTTGACTTCATTGTTCAGATCTTTTGAGTATAGGAGTTGGGACATCATGTTGAGCTTGTATAGGACATTGGTGAGGTCTGTTCTGAAGTACTGTGTCCAGTTCTGGTTGCCCTGTTTTACGAAGCTGGAGAGGGTTCAGGAAAGATTCAGGATGTTGCTGGGAACAGAGGGTTTAAGTTGTAAGGAGAAGCTGATTAGACTGGGAGGTTTTTCACCAGAGTGGAGGAGGTTGAGGGGTTATGTTATAAGTTTATAAAATCATGAGGGGTATAGGTAAGTTGAATTGCAGCTGTCTTTTTAGGGATGGGGATTTCAAGACTAAGGGGCATATTTTTAAGATGAGAGGAGAAAGATTTTTTTTTTAAAATGGCAACGTTTTTTACATAGTGGTTTGTACGTGGAATGAACTTCCAGAGGAAGTGTGAATGGGGGTATGTTGCAATGTTACAGTTACAAAGATATTTGGATAAATATATGAATAAGAAACATTTGGAAGGATATGGTCCCGTTACAGGCATGTGGGACTAGTTTAGCTTGGAATTATGAACTAGTTGGACTGAAGTGTCTGTTTCTCTGCTGTATGACTATGAAGAATATTACACAAATTGAAATTGGTGAATAGATCAATGAAGAAAATAACTTCAATATAGAATTTTCCAAAGGTATTTTTGAGTTTGGAATAAGAGATGGAAAAATAGCAGCACTATATCCCCTTTTTTAATGTTGCATGAATACATTTCTCTTCAACCTTAAGTATTAAAAAATCCATTTAATATCTCAAATTGCAGTGAAAGCTGTATAGGATAACATTTAATGAGCAACTTAATGTCTGTGCTACCAGACTTCTTATCCCCACCTCCTCTCCCTCGCATGCTCTCTCAAAATATATAGTTTTCTATCACATTTCCTAACCTTGTAGCAATCCATCATACTTGTATCAGCCCTGAAGAAGGGTTTACCCGAAATGTTGACTGCTCCTTTCCTCCAGGTGCTGCCTGGCTTGCTGTGTTCTTCCAGCATCCTGTTTGTTGTACTTGTACAGGAAACTACTTTTGTGTCAACTGTTGCAGTGCACAGTGATGTTCTACAAATAGCTGTGAAATGATAAATGACCAGACCATCATTTGTTTGTGCTGGATGGGGGCGGGGGTGGGAATGAATGTTCATTTGTAACTTCACACCAATGTCATTGGAATGGTGATTAGAATGTAATATGGTGTGTATCTCAACTTTGTTTAGATTGAGCATCCTGTTCAAGGATTAAAACACAAATTCCATTCAAGGAATGCCATTCCTTGGAAGCGTCTAAAGAAAACACTTTCCTGTCAGTCTATACATAGTTTTATTTCATGCCATGTTATTTTAGAACTAATGCTTAATATCTAAAATGTATTTCATGGTTGGGATAAGAACAGAGTTTCCCTAAGCATGCACGTGAGGAAAAATATCATGATGTTCAATGCATCTTTGTCTTTAGGACAAGAAAAAGTTCACTCTGTTGTTGGAAGAAACTGAAAACTGGTTGTATGAAGATGGAGAGGACCAGCCTAAACAAATATATCTTGATAAACTTAATGACTTAAAGGTACAGCTACTGTCTCTCCACAGAAAGTATTTCTGATTTATGTTTGTAATATTCTTGATTGAATAAACTACAGCTCCAAACTTAACTGGATTTTTGTGGATTAGTAATTATTCAGAGATTGACATCTATAGTATCCCAACTCCAGGGCCTCTTAACTGGAATTGCTTTAGTATCTTCATCTGTATCTATTAGACACTTATGAATTGCTACTAATGCAGTAGGAAAGTGGCCTACTTTATCAATAATAATCTATTTTCAGCCAGGGAGGTTTTAGGAGATGGTTTTTTTTTCTAATGCCTGTACCCTGCACAAGATTGCTTACGTTGTCAACTAAATAAACTTGTGGCTGCTCCCAATATACAGCATGACAACTGCATCCCAGATTTAGAAATGGAACCTTCATATTGGTGAAATTTGAAAGTAAGGTGTATTTTTGACCAGGCCAAAGAAAACTTTGATTTGCTGCCATGGCCATATTCATTATGATGGTAATTCTGACTTGTAAAAATCAATATTTCCTTCTATTAATTTTAGTTTCAAACCAAAATTTCATCCAAAATAGTTTATTACTTTGGAGATTAAATTAGTCGTGTGAAGTTCTGTTGTATTGTATTGAAGATCCAGTGTCAACGTAACATTTTATTTAAAAGCATTTTAGTTCAATTCCACTTATTTCAAACTCGGACCTACCTAGCATTGGTGTTCCTTACAGTGCTGCACTCAAGAAAATGGTTGTTCAAAACACTAGGGGACAAGTGTGTGGAATTTGTGGTAGTGAAAACACTGAAGACCGTGCAAGAGATATGTGGGTTGACAGGTGGATGAGGAAATCTTCAAATAAACAATTCCTGAGTTTGTGGGGTGGTGTGAGGCCATTGGAGTGTCAAAAGATGGTAGGGATTTGATTTAATTTTATTCAGGCATCGGAGACTGTGAAGCTGCATAAGGACAAGAATAATGTATGTGCCCACAACAAAAAATAAATCCAGATTCCTTTTCTATAGAAACTTGGTCAACCTGTACAGAACAGATACAAGGAGCAAGAGGAGAGACCAAAAGCATTTGATGAGCTGGGTAAAAAAATCCAGCTTTTCATGAAGACTGTAGAAGCATATAAAAATAAGGTATGAAGTATACTTAGTGAAGTGATAATTTTGACCTAAATGTAATGCTCTAATTAGCATTTTTGTTTAATTGTTAAAAAAATTACATTTTGTCTTGCAAAGTTCTCTCCAAATGTATAAATATGTAAACCTTCAAAATTCCTTGGATGGCTGGGGAGAAGTCTGTCTTTCTTTTTTAAGAGGATAAAATTTTTATTTCATTGAGCAGATTAAAAATGTAGGTGTGGATCTGCTTTCTGCTACTAAAAATAATACCAAGCATGGTAGCATTGTAGTTTTATGGACCAGTAATTGAGGCATGGACTGATGGTTCAGAGATGGGACAGTTACTACTATGGCAACTGGAGAATTTAAATTTTTGTAAATAAATCTGGATTAAAATTCTAATACCAGTAATGGTAATCCTGTAACTACTAGATAATCTTAAAGCCAAATGTGATTAATGAATACCTTTGCCTTTTTTTGGGCATGATATCTGTTGTCTCCCCAGTTTTACCTATATGTAATTCTACACCTTCAACAAAGTTATTTCTTAACTGCCCTCTGAAATGACCTCGCAAGCCAATCCATTTTATCAAACTGTAAGAATAAAACTGATCAGCTGACAAAGTTTTGAGCAAATTTCTGAGGCCTCCATCACTATCCCTGGTTTTGCTGCAGCTCACTGGCAGGACAGACCCACCAGTGATGGTGACAATGGCGTGCAGTTAGAAAATACTGGCCCTGGAGTCCTCAATTTTAACTCCGGATCTGGTGATGACTATGTTAAATGTAGGCAAGGCAACTTTATGCTTGCTACCTACTGCCCTTCAGCTAATGAATCCCTGCTGCTTTATGTGAAATTCCATTTGGAAGAAGCAGCTATGGATGAGGACTTCAATGTAGAAGCCAAAAGTAACCACGGTGCACCAGTGTTGGCTGAGCTGGACAAAACCTTTCAGGTTTATGGCAAATGGTGAGAGCACCAACAATAAAGGGAAACCACTTGACCATGTCTTTGTTCTGTCTATTCCAAATGCATTTGTCCATGGTGGTATTGGTAAGAGTTACTATTGCATTCTGTTTGAAGATGCTGATATTTGCACATTAGGAACATAAAGGAATCATTTAAATAGCACTTCTTGTGTAGTGTAAAATAAATACACTGTAATAATAAATTTATGCCATAGTGTTCCCATGCAGTTGGGTATGTATTTCTAGTGGAAATTAAGCTGACTTGTGCTTAACGTTTGAATTATGTAATGTATTGGTTGAAGCGTTGTAGAATACATCAAAAGAAAAATATAGTGTGCTGAATAAATTAAGGTAATTTGAGCAGACTAATTTCAATATCTTGAAACTGTTTTGTTTCCTTTTTGAACATAATATATTTTTATGTTTAGGATGAAAACTATGAGCATATTGATGCAGCAGAGATGACAAAAGTTGAAAAACAAGTCAGCAGTGCTATGGATTGGATGAATAGTAAAATGATTGCACAAAACAAGCAGATGTCATTCCAGGATCCTATTGTGAAGGCAGCTGAGATAAGGAATAAACTGAAGGTAAGCAGGAAGAAAGAAATAATCTATTTTTGACTTTAAGCAAATTGTCTAGAAATTACACAGGATCCCAAGTATTAACAAGTTTGATTTTTCCATAGAATCAGATATGTCTCAAAGTTTTAAGTGCATATCAAAATGAGTGAACTTACTTTGTTCAAGTGGGATAGATAAGGCTGGTTCACCACAGATAGTAATTGCTGTAATGTTCAAACGAGTTGAAGACTAGGATCCTTATTTCTGGTTCAAAGCATTTAGGAACGATGGGGAAATGGAAAAGACGGGAAGGGGTGCTGAAATTAAAAATAGTCACAGCGTTGGAAAGCAGTGATGTCCTTCAGGGCTGAGAGATATTTGGAATAATGGAGAAATTGTTACGATGTTAATTGTATGCAGTAGACCACCAAATATTGCAAAGAAAAGAACAAATTTAAGCAAGAGACAGAACCAGACTAATGAAAAGGGCTGAACTCAGTTTTTGTGGCAAACAGTATAATAGAAAGAAAATGGGAAGTGTATTCTTAATTTTGTGCAAGAGAACCACCTTGATCCTTTTTTTTTCAATGGGAAGAAGTAATCAGAATATCATTGTTCGTTTTCCTTTGCAAAACTACTGAGACAATCAAAATTGAAAAATACTCAAATGGAGGGTGGCTAATTTTAAAGCAAAAGAGGATCTGTATGGCAAGTCTAACATTTATGTATCTTGTTTACTGGTTTTAGTTTGACCTCCATATACCTATCTAGGACTTCTGGCTTTGGGAGATCAAATTTAAAGCAATGTCTTTTTTTTTGACAAAAGAGGCAGGACCAGCCAAATTTAACGTACAATTTTAACAGGATTGCAGAAATAGAGACTTGGAAGTGTGTGGACATAAACTTTTAAGCCAGCAGGACAAGTTGAAATGGCTGGTAAATTGTGCACTATTCTTGATTATGAATGGGGGAGTAAATTAAAACTGCCACATACTTCAATACTAAACCTTTGCAAAACATTATATAGTCCTCTGATAGAATGTTGCGGCCAATTCAAGCCACTACACTTCATGAAGAATGTCAAGATCTCTGAGAAGCAGTAGAGGTATTTTAGAAATGGACCAAGGTTGCAGAACTTTGATTTGTATAGGAAACAATCGAAAAGCTTGCACTGATCTTCTCGGCATATGGAATGTTAAGGGGAGACCAAAAGCTTTTGATAAAGTAAATGATTTGAAGGTGTTTACAGTGCAGATAGTTCTGTAATTAGAGGATACCAATCTTTGAGGTAACTGACGAAAGAACCAAGAAATAAGTGTTTTTACACTGCATTCTATATCATAACACAGACATAATAGAATCAAATTCAATTGCAGATTACAGTGGCACTGATTGTAGCTCATTCAAAGAGCTGGCATAAGCACAGTGGGTTCAAAGACCACCTTCTGTGATTTTATTGTTCTATGATTTTGATTCATATCATAAATTTACAATGTTCTCTTTTCTAAAATAAAACAATTTATCAGGGCAAATCTACAGATTCTGAACATCTTGAGTCATTTTGGGTTCGAAACATTAATTATGTTTCTCCCTCTTCAAATCCAGACCTGATGAGTTTTTCCAGCACTTTGAAATTGGAAATCCATACATTGTTTTCTTAGTACAGAAGATTGATTATATTATAAACTATAAATGAGCAAATGTGGGTAATTTGGCCTTATAAGTACACTCAGCCATTTAATAAAATCAGGGCTGATCTGTTTGTGTTCAGAAATCTTCATTTCCACTATTGCTTGTAATCTCTGATTCCTCTGCCGCATAAAATAACTTGACTACTTCCACCCTCCAAAACAGTTGGTGACCTGCTTCCACTACTTCTGAGGCTGCATTCCAAAATTGCATAACTCTGAATTTCCCATTATCTCTGTCCTGAAAGGGCAGGTGTCCCCTCATTCTGGACTCGCCACATGCAGAAACATCCTTTCCATGTCCACCTTATCAAAATCTTGTATACTTATATCTAATCGCCTCTTGTACTTCTGAACTTGAGTGAAACAGGCCCAGCCTGTCAGTTCTTCCTCATAAGATTGTCTGCTTCCAAGAATTAAACTAGTAAAATTCCTGTTAACTGCCCCCAATACATTTACATGCTTCCTTAAAAGGAGTCCAAATCTGTAACAAGAGTCAAAATATGGTCTCCCTGATGCGTAACATCCTTATTTTATTCAATTTCTATAATACTTTAGGCTGGCATCCCATTAGCAATCCTGATTGTGCTGTACCTGCATACTAACTTTTTGTGACTTGCTAGAACACTGGATCCTCTGCATCTTGTAATTCTGCAGTCATTCAGTCTTCCTGCCAAAGTGAGCAACTTCTCACGTTATATTCCGCCTGATAGATTTTTGTCCACTGACTCAATGAGGGTGCAGACCCATATAGTTGTTCCGTCATTTTAACAATGTACCTTCCTATCTCTGTTACATCTGCAAATTTAGCTACCATACTTTCAATCTCTTAGTTTATATCAATGTCTTTGATTTTTTTTTTAAAACAAGTTGAGGGATCAGCACAGACTCCTGCAGGACCCCATCTGTCATATGCAGCCAATATGAAACAGAAAAATTCATGCATACTGTTTTCGGTCAGCCAGCCAGTCAATCTTCTATCCATACTGGTATACTTACCCTAGATACCATGAGCTGTTACTTTGCTTATGTACAAGGTTACTGTACACCGTGAAAATCCACGGTACAGGCAGTTCTCCTATGATGTGATAGTCGCGTTCTTGTCTGACCTTGCAGTGTAGAAAATTGCATTATAGGGAAATCGCTATAGAAAATAGTTATCTGTACAGCAGAAAGTTTGCATTATCCAAACAGCGTCCACTGTTCACCAATTGCATTACAGCCAATTCACGTTAATTAAACACGCTTCATAGCAGAACTACCTGTAATTGTTATAGTACTGGATGTGAGGAGTTTCTGAATGTTTTCACACTTACAATTTACCTATTAATCTAGGAATTGGAGGCGACTTGTGACCCAATCATTAACCAAGCAAAACCCAAAGTGGAGCCACTTCCAGAAAAAGAGGAGAAAGCGAATGGACCACTTAATAAGGAAAGTGGAACTGATCCAAAGTCTGAATCTAATGCTGCAGCTGGTGACAACACCAAACAGCAAAAGCCAGCAGAAAATCAGGGCACAGAAATGGAAGTGGATTGAATACAGTCTCTTTACTTTTATATATTTAAAGAAAGTCCTTGTGCCCATTATCTATCTGAGACTACAGTTTCTGTTGTATGTCTAGCTTACATGGCACATATTCAGTTATTCTCACATGTACCTAGTTCAGCGTCATTAGTATTAAAATGGTGGAAACAAGAATCCTGCAAAATTGATTTTAAATGTAACTGTGCTGTTAATGCAGATCTATATTCTATAATCTTTCTGGGAATGTTTTTTTTTCTATCCCAATTTACAAGCACTTGAACAATCACTAGCCCTCCTGCGATTCCACTTCATGCCTTTAATTATTTCTTATTTGAATTGGCTTCACATGATAGGTCGTGTGCACATTATATGAAAAATAACAGTCAATAAAATTGTAGTGTTGGGACAGCTGTTTTATCGCAGAAACACCAGTGGAGTGTTTTGGGATTTATGGTCTGAATTGTTTCATTTAATAATCTCTCCCATTCAATATACAACAATACATGCAACCAAGTATCCTCTGTGTAAACCTAGTCTATATTTATGTGCAAGTCAGTTTCTGAGGAGTTACTAGAAGATCTATACTCTCCGCCCCGAAAGCTAAAAATACTGAGTTGTAATAAAGATAGTTGAGTCATAGTCACCTGTGTTTTACAATACTGTTCTGTAAAATCACCAAAAACCCTTCATGAAGGTTACAAAGAGCATTATAAGTGGTGATTAGTACAGAGTCTATCCTGTAAAATAGATGGTTTTGAAATGATAAAGGCAGAATGATCAGTTTGTTCTTTCAGATGATGCTGTGGAAAATGGCAAACTTTGTGGAGACAACACAGTCTGCTTGTGCTAAGGACACTGGTTGCGATCTTTTGCTCCTTGAATTTGGTAATAGGTGTTATTTTAGTAATGACATTAATATGATCCTATCAATCTTGATATTTCTGCTAAACTGGTTGTGCTCTGAAGTTTGTGGTACTTTAGCACTTCTGGAATTTAATTATCTGTTCAAATATTTTTATCCCTGAATGCAAACCCTAAACAAGGGACATTCAATGTGGTAACAATTTTAATTGGTTTTGCTAATCCTGTACATGTGGCTGGCAGTGTTACTGATGTCAACAGGCAGTGGCCAAAACGAGCTCAGCACTCCAGATGAATTTGTCATTCCATAATTCGGCTCACCAAGTATGAAAGTGAAATGCGTGCAATATTAAACATTTAGAGAGAAGTACTGAATTGCATTCAACTTTTTTTTGTCAAGTGTTTCGCATTTGAATGTAGCGTCTGAGTGCCAACACCCAGATATAAATGTAGCTTGTTGTCTTGACAGTTAAAAATCTTGTTTTAGATGGACCTGTAGAAAACTGTGATGGAAATTGCAGGGAGGGGTATCTTCTCTCAATGTTTAATGTGCTCATTTACTTTGTAAGCATTTATTTTGAAATTTTAAAAGTATTGTTGCTGAATTTAGTCAGTTTCGTTGAGTTCATGCAGCTTTCACTTGAGTTGTTAGGCTCATGCATTATTACTTGGATGAAATTAAACTAATGAAATAAGTAATCAGCACCATAAATTGCAAGAGGACAATAACTGTAGCTATAGTTTTTCATATTACTTTCCAGCATTGTTTGTATATAGTGCAAAAATACCGAACAAATCCCAATACACATTGAGTAGCAATTGAAAATGCTATTTGGCAAGCGTTTAGTTTTTTATCTAATCGTCATATTTAATCAAGTAGTCATTCCACTAGATAGTTTTTGGTTTAGAGCTCAAGTTTCATTGCTTCAAGCTCCAACACAGAAAATCAGTTTATAATTTCAGCTGCTTTTTCTCCTCTTTGCTGCAGTAGAGTCCAGTAGCTTCTGTCTTTGCTACCCTACCCCTCCCCGTGTAGTCACTCAGAGAAATTGTAACCTAAGGCAGCATGTTGAATTGTACAGGCGTATCATTGTGTGTGGGGTTAATAACCACACATCAGATCCTGACCCCATTTCTGTTAACAGATGGTGTAAAGAAAGTAGATACAAATAGTTCAGGATTTTGACACATCTACATCACGCAGAGGTGGAGCTGGAGCAAAAGTTATTTTAGATCCAACTGTCTGCAGTCAAGTTCTGAACTGTAGCTCTTACTATAATCAAAATCAGCTGTGTTAAACTTCTGTGCCCAACCTGCTGGATTTGAGCAGTAATGATGAGGATCAACTTTGAAAATGATGCCCAAATATGCAACTTCTTGGGGGAAAGAAAATGAGCAGCTGTTAGCTATCTGAACAACCTTCCAAACGAAAAACTCATGGAAACATCTTTCAAACATCTACTCCAAGTTTGGCATCCAAAGTCAAATCTTCGTTGGTGGGAAGAAAATGTGGATGAAGCTATGTCAAAGACGATGCTGGGATTTGTTCAATGGCCTTTTTGTTGCACTTCGAGGATACGGTGGATACATTTGCTGATGGCATTCCTTGCATTTATTTATTATTTACATATAATCTCTCACCACTAGTACTGAAGGATGGTGACTTCAACTAGGACGTTTGTTGAAGTTTATTTTGGTCAAACACTTGCTATTGTAATTTGTAGCTGGCTAAGCAAGTGCTCCGGATCTACTGCCTCTCTGTCAACGGTGTCCTTTTGAGAGATTTGGCTGCTGAGATATGGAAAGTGCTTGGTGTATTCTAAAGTCGGTTCTTTAAACATTTGGGAGATTGCAATATTTGATTGCTGTGGATCAATGAGATTGGTCTGGCAATGTTCAGGCACAACCTACACTTGTTCAAAACTGAACAGCTCAGAAGTGGTTTGCAAATCTGATGCAGAGTAGGTAGTATCAGAGTAGGTAGTATCACTGCAGTCATCTGGTACAGAATCTGAACTACCACTTTGTCAATGATTTTTTTTTCCTGTATGGCGGCAAGTGAGTTTGTATTAGACAGTACATGATGCTGCTAGAGGTCAGTTGATTTTCTTTTGAAGTGAATGCCCCTTACCAGAGACTAGTAATGCTGTTTCATTGCACAATAGCATGTCTAGTATAACTTGTTCTTTGGTTGGCTTCAAAGCAGTTTTTTTTTTAACCGAATCATAGGAGTGTTACGGCTGATCCTAGAAACTTCTGAAAATGTTCTGAATTCCTCATCTTGGTTGCCTTCTGCCTGTCAGATTTTCTAGACTGTGTACATTGGGATTTTAATGATTAGCGCTGTATCTTTCAGACAAGCTCCCATTACTACTTCTATTATACTCCTTGTTTTGGCTGTGTTGCTGCTAAAAGTCCTGTAAAGCAACTTTGTTATCAATACTCCTCTACCAAATCACTTCTACTTCTGCATTGTTCTGAACTTGTCATTCTTCTCTATTCCCCGAGTACCATAGTTAAAAAAGAACATAAGTTGTAATGTTTTTAGGCCTGACATCTGATGGCGGATCCTTCCAAACTGCCGCAGTATAGCAATCCTCACTGGGGCTAGTGCAGAAACTCTATATACATATATACATACAGACACACTTTTCATAGTACTCACTGCTCTATTTGCGGACATAACATTCAAACGCCCCAACATTGGGGGAGAGAAGTCTGTAAACGATGTACGTATTCTGTAGTCATTTGATCTTGGAGTAATCTTCAGTAGGAACAGAACCGTCAAGAGTTTAACTAACCCGAGAACCTTTCCCATAATCATGGGAGGTGTCTTGGTTTTGTTAGGATTGACGTAAATAACTTGTATGTGCATAGCACCTCTAAATTTCCACGGATGCTTCATTCACAAGAATGCTTCCATAATTACAGAACAAAATTTAGAATTGTATACAAAGGGGCTAGACCTACAGTACAACCACCATTGGAAAAATTGGAAACCAAGAATCGACGAGGCCATAACTAAATACAAGTAGAGAATTGCTGGGCTAGAGGCTGTTGTAGTTAGGGAAGAAACGATTTCCCCATCTGATCAAAAATCTCAGCCTTAAGTATACATAAGGAGTCTGCTGCCATAGTTGTCAGGGGCAAGGAGATCCAAAGACATTCAGCCATAAGCTTCTTTCTCATCTCAAGTCTTAGATTGGTGCCTCTTTATTCTGAGACTATGCCGTCTGGTCCTAGACACTTCCATAAGGGGAACCATCTCAGCATTTACCCTGTCAAGCTCCTTACAAATCCTATATATTTCAATGAGATCACTCATTCTTCTAAACTCACGTGAGTCCCAACCTGTTTAGCCCTTGTCATAAGATAATCCCTCAATACTATACAAATAAAACGAGAAGGTATTTTCTAAATTTAGCATAAGCAGTTCAGATACTGGTGACTTCTAAAACGAAAAATATGCTGCAGATTAACTTCTCAGGAAAGCTTATCTAGCATTGATCCCTTTAAAAGGCACCTAGATAAATATGCAGGAGAAAGACAAATTGATTGGGTTCAATGAAAAAAAGGACAGAAGGATTCTAGTATGAAGCAACACCAGAATGAACCTACTGGCCACATGCCTGTAAGAGGTAAGTAGTGTGAGAATCCAATAAGTAGAGGTCCAAAAATACAAATTAGTTAATAATAATGCAATGTGGTTAACCTATAACTGCCCTCTGGGCAATTAAGGATGGGCAATAAATGCTTGCCTAGCCAGCGACACCCTCATCCCATGAATGAATAAATACAACAGGAAATTAAGATTTTCTTTCACACAAATGGTTAGAATATGGAACTTATCTCGATTACTTTACAAACAAGATGATCATGGCAATAAGCTCAACTCTACATCCCTGTATATCCCTGATAATGTTATAATGATGTGCATAAAAGTTCTCGATCATGGAATGCTGGAAAATGGGGTTAAAATAGTTCAGTGCTTTTTCATCAGCACAGACTCAATGGGCTGAAAGGTCTTATTCTATGCTGTAGACCTATCTTTCTTTCATCCCCTTGGTAATCAACCATCTATTTGCCTCTACCTTCAAAATATTTAATTGTTAAGCATCCACTCCTTTTTGAGGAAGGGCATTCCAAACACACCTTTTGAGAGAAAAAAAATCATTTCTGTCATATTTTTAAACCATGATCCCTAGTTTTAAATTCTCCATTAAGAGGAAACATCCTCTCAACAATCACCCAGTCAAGTCCCCTCAGGAACTTGCATTCCAATAAGTTACTTCTGACTCTTCAGGAACTCCAGAGGATAACATACCGAGTCTTTCCTCAAACAATCCACTCATTCCAGGTATTAGCCTAGAAAACTTTTTGAACTGCTTCAAATGTATTTACATTCTTCTGTAAGCACAGTGATCAGTATTGTACAGAGTACACCAGATGCTGAACTACCAATGCCCTGCATAACTTTTGCATTCAATTTCCCACAATAAGCCATACCATTCTATTAGTTTTCCTGATTATTTGCTATACTTGTATACTAACAGCACCAGCCCAGAGGCATACCACTCTGACAACTTGCCAGTTGAAAAAGAGAGACACTTATTCCTACTTCCTGTTAGCAAGCCAACCTTCTATCCATGCCAATATGTAACCACTTAAACCATGAGCTTTTATTTTTGCAATAATCTTTGATGTGGCACCTTATCAAATGCCTTCTGGAAATTTAAATGCAATGTATCCACTTGTTCCCCTTTATCTACAGTACAAAATTATTTCTTCAAGAAATTCCAATAAATTAGTTAAACATGATTTGCCTTTGACAAAACCATGCCAGTTCTCCCTGATTACTTTGTATTATTGAAGTGCCCTGTTACAACATTTTTAAGAATAGCTGCAAACATTTTCCCTTTGACACAAGTTTAGCTAACTGGCCTGTAATTTCTCTTTTCTGCCTCCCTCTTTGAATAAAGGAGTTACAATCATTTTCCAAACTAAATGAAACTTTCCTGAATGTATTGAGTTTTCAAAATTAAGTACAACACGTGAACTATCTCACTAGCTATTCTTTTCAGACCCTAGGATAAAATTCATCGGGACTTGAGGACTTGTCGATTCACAGTTCCAACAACTTACTCAGTATTACGTCCATAGTAATTGTAATTTTCATGAGTTCCTTCCTCCCTTTCAATTCCCGATTTATAGTTATTTCCACGATGCCAGTTATATCCTCTGTAGTGAAGACTGACACAAAAATATCTTCAGTTGTCTCCCGTCCTTTTATCCTCTGTTACTAATTTCCCAGATTCATTTTCTATAGGATCCATGCTTACTTTGTCAGCTCTTTGTTTTTAAATATCTTAAGAAGCTTTTCCTACTTTATCTTTTTTTTTTGGCTAACTTTCTGTAGTAGCAACTAGCTTAGATGCTTGCAAAAGCTTACTAAACTTGCACAAGAAAAAAGCTTCAAGAATGCAAAGCATAAACTGGAACAGACTATTTCTGCTAAACTGCTGGTGTCTGTGCAGTGTATTCTGTGTAATTGCTAAAGTACTTTTAACTCTGTTTTCAAAGTGGAATGAGATGCACAGGGTGGTACATTTTTAATGAGTACCCAGTACTGTACACACAAATCACCTATTACAGTACTGTTCAAACAGATATTGGGAAGTAAATATAAAATATAAGTAATGATTAGAGATAAGACAATATCTAGCACGGACAAGATTTATAAAATGGGTATTTTGGAATAGTCAAACTAAAAACTATGGCACAATGAAGATATCACGAAATGATAAACCACTAAAACTAGAACACTGATTGGATGGAAAGTTGGACAAGTTCCTTTCAGTGAGCTATGAATATCTTGCACATTGTCATAATCCCAAAGATTTTAAATTATAACTATTAATGTTGCCTTCTTTTATCCATAATGATTTAAGACCCCATCTGCAAATTCAAATTATTCACGCAGGAAAGCTGGGAAATTACAATTATTTACAATAGCTATGGAGTAATGCTGCAGCTTACAAGTGCAACTTAGATATGCACCATATCCCATTTTTGTTCTGGTACTTCAGGTCTGTTAAATGATGTCAAATAGATCATTAAGTTCAGCTGCTGGATCAGGTTTGTGAATGTTGACAGAAATGTCAGCCAATTCATGACAATGCAGTGATTGATAAGCAGTCAGTTTTCCATAAATTTGTTGTTTTTCAATGTGTTTCTGCTTGTGTTCATGTAACCTAAAAGATAAAATTACTCCTACTTTATTTTTACAGAATAGGGAAGATTCATAGTTCTTCTAATACTTTGAAGAGGAGAATGGTATTTGTTTACAATTACCTTATTTTCACAACCGAGTCTAGCTGTTCTAACTCCTTTGCAACTTCTTGATATTTCAATTCAAATAGGGATTGTGCATCTTCAGCTCTATTTTCAACCTAGGTCAGGTAAAAGCATTGTTTAAATCAGATACAGCAATTGATTTGCATTTTACATTAAATTGTAAGTTCAGGCATGTCTCCAACTATTAAAAGCTTACGTGTTAATTTGATTTGATCTTTCTCTAAGATGCTGTTCATCATCACATTGTTAATAGAGTTGGGTAGTTATATTTCCAGAACAACTGACATATGCATTTATAAAATAGTAGCAGTTGCTTAGCTTGTGGACTGCAAAATTTTTGTGGATAACTGATGTTGGTGGATTAGATTCAATTATATAATAAAACTTTTCACCAAACTTAAAATTTGGCTTTATACATAAAATTGATTGAAATAGTGTATCATGTATTAGCACTTCCTTTCTGTAATATTATAGAAATTACCTTTTTTGTAGAACCTATACCAACTCAACCTTTTAAATGCAAACTTAAAATGTAACTTTGCAAAAAGCTGTATACAATCAAAGTTGAGATGAGAGGGGAGAAGAGTGTCAAAACAGTCAAATACAATAGGTGACCATCACATCTCAAAGTTCTGGATCCCCCTCTATTAATAAATAGACTTCTTTAACTCTTCACACCAAACTCGCTGATTTAATGATTGAGCTCTGTTGTTGTCTTTTTTCTATCATTTATAAGCTATATGGTCTACTTCAATTGTAGTCTATTGTGGACATAAATTTTGATAACTCCCCATGACATATATGCTTCTTACCAGTATGTATTTACATGTAAAGTATTATCTCAATAAAATTTTCTGTTTACTAACTGATTAAATCAAAATGTGTCCATGACAGAACCTTAGCTGAATTTCCAGCATTTAATCCCTGGCAAAACAGTGGGACTATTAGCAGAATGGGTGCTTGTTGATATCTGGCACTTTAATTGAGTCACAGTATTAGCCTCTCATTCCCTGTCCAAACAGGGAGCGTGTTAGTGGCAGTGGAGGTGGGAGTGGTGGTGGTGGTGGTGTCATTCTGTGGAGCCAGATATTAAGTCACATCTCTGGAGTGATGATGGAAACTAAGGGATAGGTATTGATTTTTTGGGATTAAGTAATATAGGCAGTCAACAATTTGTAGCAATTTTCTGATAGTTTAATTAGAAGTAGCAGTTTAGATATAATAAATTAGTTAATTAGGTAAAGAAGGCAAATTTACAACTATGACCAGCTGAGAACGCTTCACTGATCCATAATCTGTTCCCTAGAATAGTGGAGTAAAAGCGGTGCACTCCCATGTCCGTAATGTGTTGTCCTCTTTTGTGGCAGCAGTCTTTATTCTTCCCTCAGGGTGATGTGGAGGAACGTCTTCCCTCAGGAAGATGACGGTTTGTCCCTCTGCTCTTGCTCATACACCTCTTTACCCCCTTATTCCTATTGATAAATATTATTTTGGAGTCTGACCATATCTGCTGTACCAATCATCAATTATCTGAACTCTTTTGGCCAATGACCAGGGTACAGCTATTTATGATACTGGATAACCACTGTTGTCTTACCCAGCTTCACCTGAGGGTTTGCTTACCATTCTTTCTAAGAACAAATACTTCCTATTTTTGCAAACAACACACTGATAATTGGTTTGGTGCCAGATATGTTGTTGACCCTAACAATGCACATTGAGACTTCAGTGTTTCTCATAGTTCATCCCTTTTATTTCCCCATGCTAGAATTTTGGAAAGTTACTGACTGCTGAAATAGTTGTTAAATTAAGTCTCATGTTACACAGTAAATACAAAAAAAAAATTTAAGGGATCCCGATTTCCAATACAGGTGAGAGATCTCTTGTTGAAGGATAGAAGGAAAAGACCAACCTTTATTCAACATGAAATACGATGCCAAGGGGCTAGATACAGTGCCATAACAGATTTAATGATCTCATTAGGTCTAGCAAAGTGACCATATTGGCCATGACTCTCTCATATCCCTAGCATTTTCTAACTGATACACTTAGCAAATACACATTCCTTTCTCCACACTGTATCTATCAATTCTCCATTTCAATACATCACTCACCCATGCCCTATTGTTCTAATACCCCTATCCCTCACAGTTACCCTTTTCAAATATGTTCATTCCATTCTCAACACACAGTCCACTTATCACAAATACCCATCTGCTTTTGTTCATGGCAGGAGAACAGGAACCACAACTCCAACAGACATGAGTATACCCTAGAGATCAGGATAGGACTGTCATTGCAATTCTATGGAGAGAGGGAGGAATTGGGCCAAAGACATGCTGCCACTTGGCACATAACATTCAGTTTTGTTGAATGATGTCCACAATAATCAAACTCTCAAGATATGGACTATGCTGAGCTTTGTATTAACTTTTTTAACTTTCCGGCAATAATTCAGTATTTCATTGACATTAGCATCTCATTCTCTAACCAGGGTGGGTGTATGAGATTGTTGGACCTGTTACTTAACCACCTCTATTTAAAAGGTCCCAGGCAGGGATGGCAATAACAGTTGAAATTCTTGCAGAGTCCATATCTGAATCGAAGCCACACCTTGAACATCTGTTAGCCTTGATGCCCAACATGTCTTAGGAGGTGTTATAAAACCATGAGATCAGATCACGTAGAAACAGGCCATTCAGCCCATCAAGTCCATTCTACCATTCAATGAGATCATGTATAATCTGATGATTCTCAGATCCACTTTCTTAGTACTAAATTTTCCAACACAGGGAAATAACCTCTCAGCAACTTACCCTGTCAGGCTCCCTAAGAATATGTATGTTTGAAAAAGATTACCTCTTGGATTATCTAATCTACTCAGCCTTTCTCAATTAGAAAATCCCTCCTTACCTGGGTATCAACCTAGTGATCTTCTCCAGGCTGCCACCAATGCTAGTATATCTTTCCTTAGATAAGGGAACTAAAGCTATTCACAATATTCCAGCTGTAATCTGATTAGTTCCTTGTATAGTTTTAGCAAGACTCTCTATTTTTATGCTCCAAATAAAAGCAAACATTTCATTTGCCTTCCCAATTACCCACTGAATTTGGATGCTAGTCTGTTTGGGATTCATGAATGAGGACCGCCAAATCATTCTGTGCTGCAACTTTCTACAGTCTTTCTCCATTGAAATTATATTCAGCTCTTCTATTCTTGAGGATGAAAGCAGTGATGGCCAGGTGAGAACTCCTTATTCATTTTTAATTGGAGAACACACGGCACTCCAAGCTCTGCTCAGCTGAGCCTCAGAGGTCACTCACTAAAAGGGGAATTCAGGACAGCAACAGGAAATGTGTGTGCTTCTGTCAACGATTCCAAAGGCAATTCACATCCAATTCACATGGAAAGAGATTAGATCTCAACATGAATGTCATGACAAGTATTGGTGCTAATTCAACGACAATTGAAAGAGTTGACACAGGGCACAAGGGCTTAGTGTACACTAGGTCACTGAGACGCCCAGAAAAAAGGCTAGCACTCTTGATACCATACTCTGTAAGGTGCAGAGCCTCGGTGGCTCAACATCACGCTGATGTGCAGCCAAGTGCTCGCCTACTCTCGGCTATCAGGGAACTGCAAGTGGGGCCTGACAGGGAATATAGGGAAAGAACACATGGCAGTGGGGACTTCTGTAAAACTGCCCTCATGTTTCAACTCTTACTGGCCCCTCATACAGAACCACAAGCACAGCCTTCTCCCCAACTGGCTGTAGGAAATGACTCTCTCTCTACATCATGCTATTTGGTATTTTGTTCCCTGATCTACCTGGCTGCTGCTCTGATTTAAATAATGATCATGAATTATCAGGCCAATTTTAATACTGCAATTGAATTATATTCAAAACATTCACACACACCTTCTTATTTGTCCTGGTGTCACTTTGCAGACTCTGTCTGGACTCTGGTGGAACCTGTTTTACCAATGCTTCCTGATGTTTTTCTGATTTTAAGCTGTGAATATTCCATGATTTGCTTTGGCCAAAAATGCCGACAGGAAAAGAATTTTTTTTTATGTTCCAGACAGGAAAATTCAGCCTCTGTGTTTGGGCATTGCTGTCCAACAATTAATCCAAAATTAATCTTTGACAATGTAAATATACCATCAATGTAAAGTATCCAGCTTAGAAACCTGACTAATAACCAACTAATCTCATATTAATTTTACTTTACCTGATAGCACTCTGAGTCAGATTCACAATGAAAACGAATAATGTAGGAAACAATTATGACACTAATTTTGGTTTAAATTAAATTAAGGTCCTATGTGGGTGAACGTTTAAGATATCATGGCACTATTTTAGAATAGAATAGAATATCCTTTATTACCACATGTATGCCATTGTAGAAGTACAATGAAAAGCTTTTACAATGTCTGCCTTCTATGGTGCAATCTTAGGTACAAGTAACTAGGTACAAATCATGGATGCAAAAGATGAATAAAAAGTAGTTGCATTACTTTACAGAGTTTTTTTACAAAAGTTAGAAATAAGACATTGTTAAAGGATTGACGTTACAGTCAGGTCCAATAAGGTTCCAATGGCCTGGCGAAAACTCTTCCTTCAAGCAGCAAAAATAAATACACTCAATCAGCTTATTACTATTACTAAAGCAAAATTCTACAGATTCTGGAATTCTGAACTAAACAAAGAAAATGCTGCAAATACTCTGTGTTACTTGTCAAAGATGCTACCTGACCTGTTGAATATTTCCACTATTTTCTGTTTTTAGTTAATTAACATTCATTGTTTCTTACTTTGCACGCTAACTGGCTTTATTGATGTCACAACAACCATTTCAGTTAGGTTTGGTGAGTACAGCTGCTATTTTTAACAGAGCTAGACTAGATAATAGAGCTGGCACAACAGGCCAAATGGCCACCTTCTGCTCTGAAATGATGCTATAATTTTACAAAATCCAAGTCTTTATACTTTTTCTCATGAGGAACCATGAGGCTACATCTGTGAACGAATGTAAAAACATTACATTCTGTATGGAGTCACAAGTTACTTGCAAATAAGCTATGTAAGTATAAACCAAGGTAAGCATAGTTTAAATGTATATTGTATTACTAAACCTTAATTGTCATTCAACCTAAACATATCTTTGATGAAACCAGAATAGCAATTATTAGAACTAGGAATAATGTTGTGATACTGGATTTTATTTACTAGTGACGCATATTTGGAATTTAAAAAAGGAAAGATACCAAAACAGGTACTCCATAGGAAGTAACATTTTAATTCTCCATTGCACTTATTCATAAGAGCTCTTCTTAGAGACAGCTAACCTTATGTCATGCAAGGCAATTTTGTTTTACAGCCGTAACAAAAACTTGCACTTATATACTTCATTTAACACGTAAAATATCCCATTGCACTTCCCAAAAACACATCAGACATAGTCTAGCATTAAGTTGCATAAGGGGATATTAGGAAAAATCATTAATATCTTGATGAAATAGGTTAATGGAGGACAGTGAATTGGGAGGTATAGTGATGAAATTCCAGAGTCTGCTGGTCTAGCCAGCTGGAGGCAATGGTGGGATAATAAAATTTGTACGTACACAACAGCCAAAATTGAGAGAATTTAAGATTAAAAAGTTTGCAGGACAGAAGGAGGTTATAGAAGTAAGAAGGACGGAAGTCACAGAGAGAGATTAGAAGCCTGGAAAAATTGAAATTGTGATAATGTTAAATTGAAAGCTAATGAGGAACATCAAGTGGTGTGAAGTAGAAGACCAGTCATTAAAGCAATTCAATAATTGAGTCTAGGGGTAGCACATGCATGAATGCAGAATTGATCAGTACATAATTTAGC